TATGACCCCCCCCCCACCAAAAAAAAATAATAATAATAAAAAAACCCAAAAAAAAAAGAAAGAAAAAGACGGAAAGAAGGAAAAATTGTCCCAGGCCCCAAAAGTGGAACTCCGTGTGACGAGCACCCCTCTGTACTTGCCCCATGGGACATAGCCCCAAATACGCATATAGTTTGCGACGAGGCCCCCGAATTGACTCTTTTCAGAAAAAGCCAGCGGCAAGTTACTATCTTCCCTGATGTGACTGAGCTGGTTAACGTGCCCCCCCTGAACAATACCTCTCCGCTCTTTCTTCTCTCTTCCACCTAGCACGTCAGCAAAGAATCCTCTTCTTCTTCCTAATTCTGTTAGCAATTTCAACGTTCTAAGGGTTTTCGCCAGAAAAAATGTCGTCGTCTACCGAAAGAATCAGTATAACGACGACAGAGCTCGGGCACCGACCATCCAGCAGTTGAAGGAAAGGCGCTTCGATCGGCGGCCGGCTCCAGCCAGCACGTAGAAGCTACGGATAAAGCTACGAGAAACCTAATCCAAATTCAAAACAGGCATTCACCAATGGCGAGGACCAAAAGGAGGACAGACAATGAGCTGGTCGTCACCAACGAACCCCCTCAAAAAAACAGTAAGTGTATGTATACCTCAGCGAACAGACAATGCCAAAACCCAATCTTGTTATCTAGGCTTATGTATATATGCGAAAGAGACAATCTGCAGATAAACCCAAATTTTCTAGGCTCTTGTCCAAGTATTCTAATTGATACAACGTTAGATCTAGTTAAAGTCCAATGTTAGTTCTAATATGATCCAATGTATGTTCTATCATATTACGTGTTAGCCTTTTGTTCACGTAGTCTAGGTCTAATTTGTCATATGTCTATTGAACGGTACAAATTCCGAAAATTTATTGCAGGAAAAAATTGCTTCTAACAGGCCATCTCCAGCAGAAACACTAAGTCAGTTAACGGCAATAATCGGAGGCATTGCGGATTTATGAAGCGCCTTGTCCCGAAACATCCGTCGTGGCCTAGGATGCACATACCGTTCTATATTTCAGCACTACATTTGTGGCTCCTGCGCGCTGATCGGGCCCACCTTGAGCTGACTGCTGAGCTTTTTCGGACTAGAGATAATAACCACCTTTGTTATACCGTGATTCAAAAAGTCGGTAATGAAAGTTAGTTTGTCATGCAATGGTCCAAAACCCCTTATTTCCCACTATGGGAGATCCTTTGGGGCAAAGTACAAGGGGGCTAGTCACACGAAGTTCCCACTTTTGGGGCCTGGACACATTTTTCCCAAGAAAGAAAGAAAGAAAAGTATTTGCGCGAATAGACTCCTTGATTGATAATACGTGGGGCGTGTTTGCATAAATAGAGCTAAAGGAGATCTATTTACAACTGAGTGATAGTACATGGATCTGTTCGCAATTAACCCTTAAAATATGACTAATTAAATAGTTTAAACTAAAATGAGTTGAGCTAGCCTATTATTTACAGTATCAAATCTGTGAAAACTATCAACCCAATTTTAAAATTTAGGACCCAAAAATAAAATTCCAAATCTATGGATGTGATGTTATATGAACTAAGAAATCATCCTATTGCTGTCAATAGACCCTTAGAAAGAACTCTGTCAAACCCCACCTAATCCAGCTTAACCAACAGGGAAAGGGACAAGAGAAAAAAAAAGAATCGGTAATCAATTATTCATCATTTGTTTAGTTTTTAATAGAGGATAGATTCAACAATGTTTTAAATTAATTTGAAAGGGCAGCTCAACTCTGTTAGGACTATCCAGTTTGCGGATGATATCATCATCTTTTCTAGGGCCACCACCTCTGATATGGTCACTCTTAAAACCATTCTCTCCATTTTTGCAAATATTTCAGGCCTCGGTGTTAACACCCTCAAATCAAATCTTTTTTACCTTGGGAAAACTCCCCAGAAAGGCAGAATGTTAGCAGATATCCTCAAATGTTCTGTAGGCTCTCTCCCGTTCTCATACTTGGGCCTCCCCCTCAAAAGAGGCTCTCTCTCTAAAAGAGAGTGGCAACCACTTCTTGAATCTTTCAAAAAGAAGCTTTCACTATGGAAAAACAAATCCCTCTCCATTGGAGGAAGGTTAACTCTTCTAAACTCCGTTCTATCTTCTCTCCCCCTCTACTATATGTCCTTTTTCAAGCTGCCACAGTGGCTAATTAAGGCCATAGATAAAATTAGAAGAAATTTTCTTTGGAATGGTAGCCACTCTCATTCAAGTACCAAATGCCTTATCAAATAGGAGAAAGTCTGTAAGTCTAAGGCTGAAGGAGGCCTTGGGGTCATAGATACTGAAAACTTCAACAAAGCTCTTCTTTCTAAATGGTTATGGAGAATTTTCGATAGAAATTCCCTCATAAGCAAAGTGTTTTTCTCAGTTTACTCAAAAGAAGAGTCTAATCCTTTTGCTCACCCTCCAAAGAGTTCGGCTTCAAGGTTCTTCCAAGACCTATCCTCCATCAAATCCACCTTCTTCAGCCTGGTCAAATGGAATATTGGGAATGGCAGAACTAGCAGTTTTTGGCATGATAAATGGATTGCGACAAACTCCCTCTGCAGTCTATTTCCAAAAGCATATCATCTAGCTCTCTCTCAGAACTGCTGCATCAGAACTCAAGGCAGAACACTTAACAATGTTTGGCATTGGCATCCCCTTATCAGAAGAGGAATTTCACACTCAGAAAGGTTAGACATTAATCTCCTTCTTGATCTTTTAGCATCATCCAACCTCAGTATCTCCTCTTCTCCGGATGAGATTTGGTGGCCGCTCCTTCCATCGGGGGTTTACTCAGTTAAATCCTTCTACTCCTTTGTCAACTCCGGGGGCATTAAATCAAAATTCTTTAGTATGATCTGGAAATCAGCCATTCCAATCATGGTTAAAGTCCTGTTTTGGATCATCTCCAACAAGAAGTTGAACACGAAGGCTAATCTGATCCTTAAGGGCTGGACAGGAGACCCGAGATGCTCTTTCTGCCTATCTGGTGTAGAATCTCATGACCATCTTTTTATTAATTGCTCTTTTGCTCGCGCCATATGGTCCTCCATCTTCCCCTCTCTTCCCACAGACTGTTGGCCTAAGACTATGGATGAGCTGTTTGTATTCCACAAATCTCCAAACCTCTGCACGGATATTAAATCTATCTGGAAGATTCTGTTGCCCTGCACTTGTTGGTGGATCTGGTTCAGTAGAAACATTCTTATTTTTAAGGATAGCCAATCTAATCCAACTCACATTGCTTCTAATATTGGGAGATATACATTATTGTGGGCAGGTGCCGAAAAGGAGAGAAGGGCCAGGAGTCTTCGAAGGGCTGCATCAAACATCGGTCTACAGGAGCTTGCTAATAAGAATGCTGATGCCTCTGGGGACTACTTCTCCCCAAGTCCTCCAACTCACGTTTCACCATAAAATCGCTGGATATGGTTACTTTCCTTTGTGTGGGAAAATCTGATGTTGTTTTCTTTCCTTAACTAAGTCGTCATGTCTCCTAGTATGCTACTATCATCTCTTGTATGTAAGTATGTAACATGAGCCTCTAGCTGTAGTATCATGGTGGGTTCAGCATGGTAGGTGACGACATAGGTCCGCTCCCTATCTGCTTCACTCTCTGCGATTCTCCACCTAGTTGGTTGTCTTATCTGTTATGTTTGGTTTTTAATAATATCCTCATATGAGCAGGGCCTTAACCCTGCTTTTTCAGCTCAAAAAAAAAACAATGCTTTAAAACTTTTTTTGCCATGAAAAAAAGTTTAATTTATTTGGATAGGAGATCAAGCTTATGTGGATATGGTTAAATTGAATGAAGCAAACAATTTGAGGGAAATTAACAAAATCCTTCTTCACAAGTACATTTAAAGAGTGTAAAATATTGCTAGACTACAACCTTGGTTTGATCAAGTTTCAGCAATTTTGGCAATGAAGCTACTTTCAGTAAAGTAGTTTTATCTCCTTAATAATCGAAATTTAAGCGACAGTTTGTCCGCATCCAAAATGAGTAGAACCTATACAGGCCTGCTCACACTTAAATATTCAACAATACGCATTTAGCTAGGCCTGTCCATCCGGGCCGGGCCGGGCAAAACCGGAGCCCGGACCCGGGTACCCCGGGCCGGGCAAAACCGGAGCCCGGACCCGGGTACCTCGGGCCGGGTTTCGGGCGCGGCCGCGTGTTTTTTTATCAAATTTTTTTAATTTTATTTAATTATAAAAAACAAAAAATTTAATAAAAAATAATAATTTTATTAATCACTTAAAATGACATTAAATTATAAATAAAAAATTATAAAAATAAATTCTTTATTAATAATTAATAATTTATTATAAATTACAAGTATAAATTTATTTGGAATTCATCGCATCACAATAAGATAAGTACATCCCAACTAGGTTTTTTTAAATTTCTTTTCTTTTCTTTTTTTATAAAAATTACTAAAAATTAGTTTAATATTATTATTTTTATAATTATGTTATTAGTATATACTTACAAATTATTATGGTAACTATATATTATAATATACATATATATATGTAAATATATTCTATATTTTATAGTTATAACTTGAGAGAGAAAGAATCGCATAAGTAGCCGTTGCCGTTGGGCCAATGGGGAAGAAGTAACCGTTGTAATATACTATACTTATATATACTATATACTAAGAGAGAGAGTATACACACACACATATTATACATATATAAAGAGAGGTATACTTATATAAGAGGGAGTATACATATATATAGAGAGAGTATACTTATATATACTAAGAGAGAGTATATTAGTATATATATTAATACACACATATATAATATATTATACAATATATAAGAGAGTGTATACTTATATATACTTATATAATAGAGAATACATATATAAGAGAGAGTATACTTATACGTACATATAACTTAAGAGAAGAGTATATACATAACATACCATACATACATTATACATATATTAGAGTAGAGAGTATTCTTGTATATACTTATATAAGCAAGAAAGTATACTTATATACTTTATTACTATAATATACTTCTATATAAGAGAGAGGTTATACTTATATATACTTATATACTAAGAGAGAGTTATATATATCACAACATATGACATATTATACATATATAGAAATATATTATATATACATATATTATACATATTATATATATATTTATATATACATATATAATACATATAAAAAAATAAAAAAAATAAAAAAGTAAAAAAATTCACTATTCCGGGCCGAGCCCGGGCTTTTTGGACACCCCTATATTTAGCATAATAGAAAACACAAGAAGACCACCATAACATCTTTTGGAATTAAAATACCACCTGCAAAGATAGCTTTGTTTGTTACTTGTAATCTATACTAATAAAAACTCGATAACTTTAAATTGACTTGGCCATAATTTTACATGGTACAAACTATACGTACTTTTGGAATCTGTTAACTTGATATCAGGTTTCATACATTAAATTTATTACAGTAAACTTTTCTTCCAGGTATTGCTAATAGACATAATCATCGTCATCGCTGTCATGTTCATAAATTTGAAATTCACCATCACTAACATCAGCATTCTGAACCTCTTTGTTGGATGTTGAATCATTTCCATCCTTGCTAAATGGAAACTCTCGCAGGAGGTCCTGAAGGTAATCATTGACAACTGGATCCCCAGCTTGGTCTGCTCAAGTTAATAGGAAACGTTTTTCATATTCTTTAAAATGAAAATGCAAATATATTTAATGAGCTATAAGCTTGAGATTTGCAGAAGAAGCATAAGACAACTCTTTGTATGAACTTCATGTGACCAATTATAATATATAGTAAAAACTGATCATAATACTCTAAATAGTCTTTTACTTCATTTCACCTTATCAAAGTTGAGACTATGTTTCTTTTCTATTACGAATCAACGAGATCAATATACTCGAATTTTCACTGTCTTCAAATTAGATAGCAAATCTATGAAGCTAAGCAATTGTTAAATTGCACCTAACTTAATGCATATAAATGTGAAGTGTTTCAGCAAACAATTCTCAATGAACTACCTTTTGCTATATTAAAAGATTAATTACTACATAAAACCAATAAGCAGAAATAATGGGTTTATTTCCATGATGATAACAATTGAAACAAAGTTAGACTAACTAAGGAATTGACAAATTGAAAGTAAACTATATATATGAAGTAACAACATCTAAGGATACGAGAACCAGTCTCAAGGGAGAAACGGCCATCATCACCTGCCTATAACAAAGAGCAAATTGAGTTATTTAACCAACTATTATCTGAGCAATACACTAATCATGAACGAGTACAGTAAGAAGTTTAAATTCAAAATGGCACTAATTACCATGGCTTGAGATTCATATTCGGCAAATTCATCTTCCTCTTCCTCCTCTTCCTCTTCCTCTTCCTCTTCTTGATCATTTTCAATTTCTCTGTTATTAGTCCCATCTTGACCCGACATCTGATGCTCTGTGCCACCAGATTCAGCAAATGCAGTTTCAGTAGACATATTGGATCCTGCAGATGACAGAATTATGTAACTAATCTATCCATTGAGTAGCCACGAACTATGGAAATAAAAATAAAGGTAAAATAAAGTTGAATACCTTTGTTGGGATTTTGGTGCTTAGTTGCAGACTTCCTAATTCTGCCAAGAACTTCCAGTTTCTTTAGTTTTTCAAATTCTCCAGAAATACATTGCAACAAGACTTCAGCACCTTCTCTAGGGCAAAGGGAGATAAACCTCATGCTTACACGCAATCTCAAAGTTCTAAGAAGAGTGTCAGAGAACCATCCTCTGGAGCGCTGCATATTGACTGGTTAGTTAAATAAATCATGGGTTTCTACCAGAGTCTCATGAACTTTTATCTATCTTATTACTGCAATTAATATTCTCTCTAAAAGGATTAGAATATGTCAGGCGATTAAAAGCATTTGCAGTTGGCAATGATTTTTAAGGAAAAACGAGAGAACTTACGGTGCAAGTTGTCTGATATGTGGGTTTTTGAATGGCATCTTGTATGAAGTCATCATTAAGTTCAAAGAATTGCAAGCAAGTAAAATTTTTCCAGGGAAATACTCGAAACTGACATATGTTCTTCCATGTTTGCTTTGACCTATAATTGAGATGATAGAATTCAAGTGAATTATTGACAGTAAAAACACTATGTGAGTAGATAATTAACTTAGACTAAACAGTGATTACAGTATAATTGCATACAAAATGCTTGAAGTATCCAGACTCAAAGTAATATACCAAAGCTATAGAAGAAAATCATCAGGACCCAAAAGTCTTAAATAATAAAAACAATAATAAAGTTCTCCTCCCAACTTATTCACCATATTGCCACTTAGTGCTTAATGTTCTCTTCATTTGATTTCTTACGCTACACGTATCTTGGAACCAAAAAGATGGCAGAAGTATTAGAATGTCATTTTAAATAACAGTGAAACTGTAGCCCCGCTTATCTGGCAGCAGCTACAAGAATTCTGTCACTTAGTTCCATAATGTGCTATTACCATATTTCAAAATAACTATCTGATCTTTATACTGCCTCAAGACTACATTCCATTTGTGAGCATATTTGGGGAGGGGTTCCCGACTTTACCAAATACATATCTGACTAGATCGTGTATTTAGATTTGTGTATCTTATAAAAACAAGGACAGCTAGTACACCATTGTGTTTTTTCATATTGCATGCTATTATTGCTATGCAACTGGCCAATGGTAGATCACATAAAAATTGTTGACATACTGTGAAGATAGGTGCTGATTTTATGTCATGTATTCACAATACTATTTTGCCTTATGGTATTCTGATACTTTGTTGCTCGTGTTATATTCTTAGCATTAATGCGCTCAAACGAGGCTTAAGAGGAGATCAATTCCGGTCAATGGCTTAAGATAAGGCTTATAATAATTCTAGTTTGAGATGGAGCTTGAGGTTCTTGTTTAAAAGAAGCTTGAAACTTGTGTAATCCATAAATTAGTTTTTATTGAATATAAACAAAGGTCCCTCCCATAAGTGACCTAGACGCTGGGGCTTGGGGCCTTGGCTCAAAGGCCAATGGTTGATATATGTTTATGGCATGCATACTCCCAATGTCTAATTATTACGTATTGCAAGACTTGTACTACATTTCACCTGGGACTGGAACTTTTGTGTGTATTTCTAGGGGGGGTGTTACTTGGCTCGTACTAAACCAAGGTTCCTTGCACCAAAAGGAAAAACAAAAACAAAAACAAAAACAAAAACAAAGGTGAAATTTTGCTGCAATTAGATACCTTGAATCCTCTAAGGAGAAAACATCGGTGGTGCAAGATAGATTAGCCACATGTTCAATAGATAAAAAAAATTAGATAGTGAAACATAATCAGACCTAAGACTCCAACAGGGTAATTTTTCTTTTGGGCAACATCATTTAGGGGACCCCTACTGCAATAGGAAATACTACCAGTATGCTAGTTATTGTATAAATAACATAATAAAATATTTGCAGACACATCTAGAAATATAACGTTATGTATGAAAATAGACAGAAGACAAGGATAACTACGCAATTTCCTTAAAATAGAGGAATGCTAAAAACCCAATCAGGAAAGACGTCCTGTCTTCCAAAAAAAGTTGCGCTGACCAAACTACAAAATTTTAGTTATTTTTATTGGTCGTCTCTGTTGGCCTTCTTGTTTTGATAATGTTTAATAAACAATTTACTTCTAATGTTATTTGTCTAGTGTTTATATAATTCTATTTATTGTAGACAAACAACATGTTGGAGGTTGGATGAATTGCGTCATAACGATCATATCAAATGGAGGTTGGTGGAATAGTGGTTGAAGTCTTGTAATTTAAGTTAAAGATTCAAGTTCAAGCTTAATCCGCGAGTGTACCAAGATAGAGCTTCGTTGAAGATCACAAGCTTGGGTATATTTAGTTTAGGTTTATATTATATGTGTTAGTACTTTAAGCTCAATCATATACACACATACACGTTTTGGTTTTGTATATATATAGTTATATATATACATATATGTTTTGGTTTGATAGGTTTCAAGTTTTACTATGAAACAATTGAATACAATTGGAAAACATATTTTTGTTTCATACTTATATGCATTTATATGATTTTATCAATATCAATTTTATAATTTTTATTTAGTTCCATGAAATTATGTTTTAGTGTATTATATGTATATTTTGATAAAATACTATATTCATTGTTTATAGACTTCATAACAATAGTTTACATCTTCTATTAAGTCTACAAAATCATTTTGTATTGTTTCAAAACATGGTTTAGTCAAAATATCAAAATTCATATGTTTACATTTTCATGTTTTGGACTATTTTGTAAAATGATGATATTTTTTATTTGGGATGCCCTTTTTAAAAACCAGTCTTTGTAGCATGTTTATTATCATGTCTACAATCATTCCCCAAAGTTTTATATTTTTTTAGAATTTATTTGATATTTTTAAATAGGGTTTTAAAATCAGAAAATTAACTTTCAAACCTGTTTTCTCATATGTCAGTTTACGGTCGACCGCCACCGTCGACCGCGCCTTTGATTTTCCCTGCGGAGCCATCAGCAACTTTTGCAGTCGACCACCACGGTCGACCGTCCAACTTTCTGAAAATTTCTCAGGCTCGAAAGTGGCTCGCGGTCGACCGCGAGAATTTCACGGTCGATCGACGTTCACCCCAACGGTCATTTTTGTACAGAATCTGATTTCCGATTCTGTGGGTTTTTTGGTCTTTTGTTTGGGGTTTTTGACTGAGGTTTTGGGAGGCTATAAATACCCCATTGATCTCAGTTCTTAAAAAAAACAAGAGTGTTTTAAAACAAGTTTAAAGAGTTTTAAACAAAGGGTTAAGTTTGGTTTAAGTTTGTTTAAGAAGCTTTTAAGCATTTGGAAGTTTGAGTTTGTGAAATCAATTTCACAAGAGCTTAAAGAGATCATCTATTGGTGTTTGGGCATCCAACTATTCTCCCTCTATCACTTGATCTATTGAGAAGTTTTCTAAACTCTATTTCTAGCTTTACATCTATTTGTTTGTTTATCATTTTATTAAAACTAATTTTATATTGAGTTTAGATTTAATTAATCTCATTGTTACACACACCCACATTGAGCTTTTAGTATTTACATACATAGTATATTTGGGTTGGTGAGAGATTGTAACATTGAGTTGTGTTTTAATTGAGTTCTCATCCATATTAGAGAACAATCATTTATTGTATTGTGTTTATTGTGAGATTCACTTTATAATACACTTGTATACCAAGAGAAGTATGTGGCGAGAGTCGGGGATTGTCCCAAGAGGAGTGACGTCGGTTGACGAACCTAGGGAGGTTGTATCCGAGCACTTGAGAGAGACACGTCTAGTTCCAACACTTGAGATGGTGTAGAGTGAGATTGCAAGAGTGTTGATTGTAGAGTTTTCGATAAACTAGAAAACCGAGTGTGAGGTGTAAACGTTGTTCGGATAAGCGTAGAAAACCAGGTTGTGATAGTGGATTTCTCCCCGGGAGTGGGGAGCGAAGACGTAGGACGGAAGGTCCTAATTCCGTGATCATATTGTGTGTTTGCATTGTTTATTTGCACACTATCACTCTTGTTTTGTTTATGTTTATTTCACCATTGTGTTAATTTGTATATCCTTACATATATCTCATAGTATATCTCATTGCTAGGATATATCTCTTTGTTCATATTGCTTATCCTAGCTCATATATCTTATTGTATTTCACACTTGCTAGGATAACTTGTTATTAGTTTTAATTGGCATAAAATCGGATTAGATTAGCATAAGACCCTAATCACCCCCCTCTAGGGTCTAACAATTGGTATCAGAGCTTGGTGCTCTTTGATTTAAGGTCTAATCACCTTGAGTTAAAGATCCAAATTATCTTATTTGTGCTAATCTAGTTATGATTGCTTTTGTCTTGCTTGCATATATTCACATCATGAATATAAATGTATTTCGTTTAGGCTATAATCCAAATATTGCTCCAAAATATTAAAATTTCCCTTATGCTCAATGGTGCTCTAAATTTAAAATATTTGTTGAATCTAGAAATATCGACTTATGGGAAGTTATTGATTGTGCTTATATTGTACCCACATTGGAGAAATCCAAGTGGAGCAATCATGATAAGAAAATATTTACAATGAACAAGTTAATGTTAGAACTCTTGCATAATGCTTTTGAATCATGTATTTCTAACGAACTTGCTCATTTTGATAGTGCTTACATTTTATGAAAATTTATTGAAGCACATCAAGGAGACTTGGAGGAGATTCGACGCGTTTTGACAGAATCGACTTTAAGTAAGGTTGGAGCATCATCATCATGCATACGACCGCTAGACGATAGCCCTAACGAGGTATGCGATTCGGATTCCGAAAGTGAATTATCCATTAGCGAACTCGCTTGTGCATATGATAAATTAGCGCATGCCTACAAGAAATTACAAAATGATTTTATTGATCTTAAAAGCAAGCATGTAGAATTAAATTCTGATTATGAGTTGCTAGGTTTCAAATTTGATATCATTGCTAAGGAGAATGTTACACTTAAAGAAAATAATGATATATTGAATTTGGAAAATAAAATTTTGAGCTCATCTATTGCTAGTTTAACTCATGCAAATAAAGATGTCATGCTAGAAGTAGAATGCATTAGAAATGAATTTGATAACCATACATGCTCTACTTCTATTATCAATGATGTCATGCCTAATGTTGAGTTGAATCTTGTCAAAAATCGCATATCATCTTTAGATTCAACATTAACTTCATGTTTTGATAATCATAAGAAGCTTATGAATATGTGTGCCAAATCTGAGTCTAAATCATCCACTCATTATGCACACATATATAGCAAAGTTTATAAATGCACTATTTGTGGTCGTAAAGGCCATTTGTCTAAATTTTGCTATGATGCACATAAACCTACAAAATCAAATGTTCCTTGTGCATCTCATCAAGCCTCTTCATCACACACTCATGCACATGCACATAATGTTCATCATAAGCATGCTAGTGTGTATCAATGTAATTATTGTGGTCGGTTTGGCCATTTGGTAAAGTTTTACTTTGATTTGAAAAAGAATTTAAGTTTGCCAAATATTTCTAGTAAACCACATGTTTTAAAATGTGATGTTTGTGGTAAGTTTGGACACTTGGCGAAATTTTGCTTTGATTTACAAAATATTTCAAAATCGCAAGTTGTTCCAAAAGAACTATCTTTGTTTGATGATGTTTCTCATTTGCAAAATAATCTTAAAAGATCATCTATGTTTGCAAATGTTTCTCGTGCACAAGCTAATGGTCCACAAAAATAAATGGATCTCTTTCATTGCACAAATTACAATCGGAATGGTCATTTGAGTGATTACTGCTTTGACCATGTTAGTGCACCACATGTGTCCAAACGAGTTCATAATCCTAGGTCTTTGAGCTTAAATGATAGGGGTCATGTCCCTAAACCTTTTGGTACCAAGAATACTTGGGTACCAAAACAAATTTGATTTTAAACCAAGAATTTTAGTGTTTTTATTTTTTCTTTTTTTTTGGTTTTGAAAAATTATACTTTAAACTTTTGAACATGAAAACAATTTTTTTTATCAAATTCTTTTGTTTTCATGATTATTGATTTTGTTTTGATGAGAGGTTTGTGTTTATATAACCCTCCGGGTTTATTGGGTGTTTATTCTCAAATCTTGTTTACCGGGTGCTAAAATGTTTATATGGGTTGATATTAGCTCAAGAGCTAGATATGGTTGCCTCTCTCATTTGTGAAAATCAATGATGATTTGGTTTTATACTTTTAAAGATGATTTTTTTTTCATACTTCATGATTCTTGTATGTTTTGTAATCTTATTTTTGAACTATGAAAATTTTGTTTTGATTTGTTCTTTTGAATTCATTATATAGCACAAATAGATGATTCAAATTTTAAATATGCTTTATAATGTATTCATGTGGTTTGATCATGTTTTACAAAGAAAATTTCCTTTATTGATCAAACGTCACTTTTGGGTTTAAAATTTGATTTATGATTTTATTTGGTTAATTTGTTTTCATTTGAAAACTTTTTGCATGATTCTCATGTTCCTCTTCTTTTGATTTCATAAATCTATTTTTACATTATGTTTTTATAATTGTGTAATGAGACACTTCTTTCATAAATGATATATCTATATGTGTCCTCATTATCCTCTTGTATGTGAGTAATATTTAGCATATTTTTTATCTATGTTTGCTCACATGTTTTGTCATGATCTTTATTGCATTCACTCCATATGGCATTTTGATAGGGGGAACAATCCCCATATATATATATATATATATACTCACCCATGCATATTAATGGGGGAGCTTTCGCTCTCTTTCATCTATATGGTTTTCCCCTTTTTGATGTTGTCAAAGAGGAAGAAATATTGTGAGTATATTCTTTCTTGTTCATATGCATGATAATTATATTGTATATTCATTTCCCTTCATGCATATATCATTTTCATTTCCCTTCATGCATATATTATTTTTGTAAATTATTTATCATCATCAAAAAGGGGAAGATTGTTAGCCTTCTTGTTTTGATGATGTTTAACAAACAATTTACTTCTAATGTTGTTTATCTAGTTTTTGTATAATTCTATTTATTGTAGACAAACAACATGTTGGAGGTTGGATGAATTGCGTCATAACGATCATATCAAATGGAGGTTGGTGGAATAGTGGTTGAAGTCTTGTAATTCAAGTTAAAGATTCAAGTTCAAGTTTCATCCGCGAGTGTACCAAGATAGAGCTTCGTTGAAGATCACAAGCTTGGGTATATTTAGTTTAGGTTTATATTATGTGTGTTAGTACTTTAAGCTCAATCATATACACACATACACGTTTTGGTTTTGTATATATATAGTTATATATATACATATATGTTTTGGTTTGATAGGTTTCAAGTTTTACTATGAAACAATTGAATACAATTGGAAAATATATTTTTGTTTCATACTTATATGCATTTATATGATTTCATCAATATCAATTTTATTTAGTTCCATGAAATCATGTTTTAGTGTATTATATGTATATTTTGATAAAATACTATATTCATTGTTTGTAGACTTCATAATAATAGTTTACATCTTCTATTAAGTCTACAAAATCATTTTGTATTGTTTCAAAACATGGTTTAACCAAAATGTTAAAATTCATATGTTTATATTTTCATGTTTTGGACTATTTTGTAAAATAATGATATTTTTTATTTGGGAGGTCTTTTTTAAAAACCAGTCTTTGTAGCATATTTATTATCATGTCTACAATCATTCCCCAAAGTTTTACATTCTTTTTAGAATTTATTTGATATTTTTAAACAGGGTTTTAAAATCAGAAAATCAACTTTCAAACCTTTTTTCTCAAATGTCAGTTTACGGTCGACCGTCACGGTCGACCGCGTCTTTGATTTTCCATGCGGAGACATCAGTAACTTTCGCGGTGGACAGCCACGGTCGACCGTCAGCTCGAAAATTCCCACGATCGATCGTCCAACTTTCTGGAAATTTTTCAGGCTCGAAAGTGGCTCGCGATCAACCGCGAGAATTTCACGATCGACCGCCGTTCACCCCAACGATCATTTTTGTACAGAATCTGATTTACGATTCTGTGGGTTTTTTGATCTTTTGTTTGGGGTTTTTTGGCTGAGATTTTGGGAGGCTATAAATACTCTATTGATCTCAGTTCTTAAAAAAAACAACAAGAGAGTGTTTTAAAACAAGTTTAAAGATTTTTAAACAAAAGGTTAAGTTTGGTTTAAGTTTGTTTAAGAAGCTTTTAAGCATTTGGAAGTTTGAGTTTGTAAAATCAATTTCACAAGAGCTTGAGGAGATCATCTATTGGTGTTTGGGCATCCAACTATTTCTCCTTCTACCTCTTGATCTATTGAGAAGTTTTCTAAACTCTATTTCTAGCTTTACATCTATTTGTTTGTTTATCATTTTATTAAAGCTAGTTTTATATTGAGTTTAGATTTAATTAATCTCATTGTTACACACACCCACATTAAGCTTTTAGTATTTACATACATAGTATATTTGGGTTGGTGAGAGATTATAACATTGAGTTGTGTTTTAATTGGGTTCTCATCCATATTAGAGAACAATCATTTATTGTATTGTGCTTATTGTGAGATTCACTTTGTAATATACTTGTACACTGAGAGAAGTGTGTGGCGAGAGTCGGGGATCGTCCCAAGAGGAGTGGCGTCAGTTGACGATCCTAGGGAGAGGTTGTATCCGAACACTTGAGGGAGACACGTCTAGTTCCAACAATTGAGAGGGTGTAGAGTGGGATTGCAAGAGTGTTGATTGTAGAGTTTTCGGTAAACTAAAAAACCGAGTGTGAGGTATAAACGTTGTTCGGATAAGCGTAGAAAATCCGGTTGTGATAGTGGATTTCTCCCCGGGAGTGGGGAGCGGAGACGTAGGACGGAAGGTCCGAACTCCGTGATCATATTGTGTGTTTGCATTGTTTATTTGCACACTATCACTCTTGTTTTATTTATGTTTATTTCACCCTTGTGTTAATTTATATATCCTTGCATATATCTCATAGTATATCTCATTGCTAGGATATATCTTTGTTCATATTACTTATCCTAGCTCATATATCTTGTTGTATTTCACACTTGCTAGGATAACTTGTTATTAGTTTTAATTGGCATAAAATCGGATTAGATTAGCATAAGACCCTAATCACCCTCTCTCTAGGGTCTAACAGTCTCAAGGCTCAAACCCCGTGGAGGGGCCAATAGCTCTTAGAGTATCTTCCAAGCATGTAGAAATTCAAGCCATGACATGAATACTAAGGAAATAATAAAGCTAATAAGATAAATGGTCACCTAAATTAAATGTCCAAGGCATACAATTATGTAAGAGATCCCTGCCCTTTTATGCAGTAAATAAAATAGAATGATTGCCATGTGAAAGTATTGGTAATTTAGGATAGTACAAAAAACAAAATGAAATTGCACTCACCCAGCATCTGTATTTTCTTCACCAACACTTCTTAATTGTGATGGCACCCGAAAATCAATTTTTTGATATCTGTCCAAAAGCCACAATTTGAGACTGACAACATATCCATATAGTATTGGAATATTCAGAATTAGCAAAAGTACTAGTCAAAATGGTATTTGAAGAATAAAGCAACCAAATAAGTATGGAGTACTATGAAAGATCAAATAAGACCCTGATATAGCTGATATCAGAGGACAGAAGCATAGCACCAATATAGCCATGGAAATGCATGGATGAAGTCAACTTTAACATAATGGTAATTCTTGATAAGAAGCACATTATGGCTTTATGTGGCCACATAAAAGGCCACAGAAAACTTTGTGGTTGATATCTGTGCATTGAATAAGGATTATGCGCTTTAATTATGTGTAAACCACATAATCAATTGTATATGTTTATGCACCTGCATATCGAATAATAACAGTTATGTTTTTCCTTTCTTCTAAATCTGACCTATTACCCAATTTAACTAACTCGACTGAACCAATAAACCAATTAAATCCTAATACCAGATACCAGTCATTATCGTGGTTTAAATAGGCAATCCCGCTTTTCATTTCCTTTTTTCTCATAGAGCAGCAGTCTAGTGATGCAGTGAGGTGTGCAACAGGAAGAACTTTTTTTCAAACTTTTACCAACAAGTATACACACTATATTCTTTTGAGAATTTTGGCATCTTCCAGTGTGCCAAATCTTTGACAAACTACAATCTCCACCATGGACTAGTATTTTTTTTCAAAAAGTTAACAATATTAAAAATTAAATAGGAATTACGTAAAATAAATAGGATCATAATGACTCTTAACTTAATTTATTTTTATTTTATTTTCAAAATCCAAAGTAGAAATCCACCATGCTCAGCTCTCCATAGATTCATCCTTGGCACCAATCCTAATCCTTGCATAACAACCTCTGGACATGCCTCATTTAATTCATAATCCGACTCTACAAGTAAGTAATAGGATGATCTAAACACATCTAACACGATCTGCAAAATATCAGATTAATAGCACTGTCGTCAGTAACTTGATATTATCCCACCTTTGGCCTACAGAACTTATTGTTTAGACCATAATGACTCTTAACTTAATTTATTTTTATTTTCTTTTCAAAATCCAAAGTAGAAATCCACCATGCTCAGCTCTCCATAGATTCATCCTTGGCACCAATCCTAATCCTTGTATAACAACCTCTGGACATGCCTCATTTAATTCATAATCCGACTCTACAAGTAAGTAATAGGATGATCTAAACACATCTAATACGATCTGCAAAATATCAGATTAATAGCACTGTCGTCAGTAACTTGATATTATCCCACCTTTGGCCTACAGAACTTATTAACATCATTCATCTCTAGGTGGAACTGATAACATAATATCGTGTGGTGGTAACATGCCCTGACATGATGGCTTCAATTGTCGGGCACTTCAACAATAAGAATGCTCGTCTATTTTATCATGATCATACTATTTTGCACAAATATTTAATTTCAAAATAAATAGTGCTCAATTCTAAAATCAAGAAAATAATACAATCAATTTCAGTTTTAAATGATGAACAAAAATCAAATGTGACTTTGGGAAGAGATACAACAAAGAATAGTACACGTAACAGAAACTCTTACTTCCGTGACTCAGGATCTTTACGAGGATCATATCCTTTTTTGATCCAGAATCGAGCAAACGGTCCAGTAGAGAAATAGTAGCCGGTACGAAACAGCAACCTGAATATATTAATGCAACACTACGTCATTATCACACAAACCTTTCACTGGTCATATGAATACAAAGAAAGCTTCGCTTAAAAAATTGTTACAAATTTGAAATGTTCACTAGATATTTCAGAAGAAACACATAGAAAAGAAAATATGAGGACAAGAGAGAACCTCTTTAGCATGTGGTCAGTGACCTGTAGGCCATTCTCAAGCAACTCTTCATGGATTGACCGTCTTGGCCATATAGGTCGTACCTCGAACAATTTTGACACAGCTAACTGCAACTCCCACTCAGTTGTACCTATTGGAATTTTATCTTCCCAGTTCACTTTTCCAGGAACTTTTATGAAACTTAAGTTCCACAACAAATGAAAATTAAAAATACCTAAAAAAAAAAGGAAAACAACGCTTATATCATGAAGTAAATAGTACCCAGATGCGCCACAGAGGCATGTGAATCTATGAGTCTTCTGACGTAACTTAGCATTTCTGAAGTAATATTTGCTTACATAAGTAATTTCCTATACAAGCTCTGTCAAGGGTCATGACAGAGCCATCTCCTCTGATAAGATAGAAAGTTTTTGCAGAGTACATTTGAATATATTGATGCACTATTGGTCATTGGCTGGGGGTAAACTAATTGGTATCTCCAATAAAATTTTGTTGTTTAGAAATTCTCTTTTCCAGATTTAAAACAAAGAGATGCCATTTCCATGGGATCTGGTGCACCAAAGGGAACCTACACCAACAACGCATCAGCGTCTGTTCTAGTTGGGTTATCTATGTTCAGGTGAAAAAGAAGAGGAAAAACAAGAAGAAGAAGAAAGTAGCAATAGCACTAATAGTAACAGGCAATGCATAATAATTCCAAAAGCTATTTTTCTCTAACACACAGGACATTAAAATGATAGTTTACATTCTCACAGAAAAATAACAAAGAAAATAGTTTCACAGTAAGGATATTTTCAATGTCAAAATCAATAGCAAGGCACGGCTCAATGTCCATCTGAAATATAAATGATAAACGATTAGCAAGATGAAACTTAATAACTCTATTCTACCTGATGCATGTCAAATAAGTAAACTTGATATATCAAGTTCTGAACAAACAGAATGTCATTAAAATTTGATAGGAGAATATGAAACAGTAAAAATAAGGACTGAAATGTATATGGAAGCAATTTTCACAACATCCAATATAAAGCAAAATGCTGAATCAATTTTATTTTCCAGTTTTGCAGGCAGGATGGCACTATCAAGATTTGTTCATATAGTGTCAATTTTAATTATTCTATATCAATAACAGTACCAATACATCAGCCAAATCAGTATAACAGTGTTGCAATGATGTAATATTTCCTTGAAAGGGGTTAACTGTACAATGATAGCGCCATTATACAAAATTGGTGCAGTTTAAATCAAAGGTATTCAATTGATACTAATGGAAGTAGTATTCCACATGTTTCACTCAAGAATTGATCATGTGTAGAGCCCTTTACAATCAAATGGGGGGAATGGATCATACAGAAAGTTGATAGAGATAACTATTATTTTTACTTTTGTTTCTAAACTTGAAGAAGATTATTGGCTGCTTCACTAGTTCAGTAACGTATGTTTCGGTGTATATGATATAAAAGCACCACTCCCGCAAGTAACACATGCATATGTAAGCATTTAAAAATATGCTATCTTTATTTGTCTACGAAATGTACTTATAAAGTAGCATACAAAATGATAGAGTTAGATAAATATACTGAAAAGAATTAAGTCATAATGGGACTAAAGATCAAGAAATACAACAACAAGAACATTACCTCCCAGCGGTGTTCCACAACACTCTTCTGCAACTTTTTGGAGAATAAATTAGACGGTGGATTCAGCCTAAAAACAGAAAAAAGGAAGAATAATAAACTTTCAAGACACCAGCTATCAGCAAATTAGTCATATTCCAGATAGCACCTAACTTTGGAAGTGCAAAAGGGTGCCAATACATAGCAATCATAATAGTTCATTGTACTAGTATCTCTTAAATGTTTAAGTGCAATAAAATCAGAAAACCAGAGACATCTGCTAGTATCACTTGTTCAAATTTTATGCCAGACAAAAATTGGATAGCAACTCACACTATCTCCTCCGGAGTATTCTTCAGCGAGAATAGAGGTGGAACCAACATCATTACATCATCAGCTTCCTCTTCTATCAATGACAAAACATGTGTTTCGGTTATTAATCATTTAACAAATAAGACATTATAAAAATATTAGTTCTGCCATAGTATGACTACTCCACCCAAGTGCATGCGAGAGGCATCGCCTAAGTCAGTTTCCTCATCAATATCACAGCGTCCCCTCTTTCTCCTTGCTTCAGCAGCATGAACGGCCAGAACATGCTGGTAGTCCACCATACCTTCATCCAATAAACCAAGATAACTGACTAACACAAGCACTACAATAGCATTGGAGAATTTCTTGCTTCTAAAGTCAAAAATGTACTACGACCAATTAGATGAGTTTTGCATGTCTAAACAAATTTCAGTAATAAAAAAGACATAAAATGCCTTAAAGCTCAGAACTTTGAGATCTAAATAGGTTATCACATGGTAAACTACTAAAATGCATCATGAAAAATCTAAATATATTTTTTAAACACCATATGAAAAGAAAAGGTTAGCTTCACCTTCGAAATCATAAGCTTCGTTAACCCGAGCGACGACCTCAGCCGAAAGTTGCTCCTTCCCATCATTATCGGATTCAGGTCGGGTTTTGGAAATTTTAAGAACGAGACCCACAAAAGATCGGCGCTCTCCAAACGCAGGGTGACAGTGCGGATCCTCAGGTCGGAAACGGAGCTCCAATTGACCAGAATCCGAGCTCCGCACCTTAAAAAATTAAAAAAAACAGGTAAAACTTGGAGAAAGAAAGGGAATCCAGGGTTAGGGCATAATTCGTAGAGCCGATTACCTTCTCGACTTCGTGGATTCCGCCGAGAGTGTCGATGGCACGTGAGGTGGAGGAGGGGTAGCCGGGGTAGTTGACGGCGAAGAGTTCCGATTGAGGGAGGACGCCGGACACGGCGCCGTTAGTTATGACGGAGGAGGGAGGGTTTTGGACGGCGCCGTTATCTTCGTCAGGGTCCATGGAGGATCGAGCTGGGGAGCGAGGGTGTTACAGGGTTTAAGAGGGGCTAAAATATCAAGGCCTAAATACTCCCACCTCTAAATTGACCATAAATAAACTTCCGAAAGTGGTTTTTAAGCAAGAAAAGAAAATTAAGAGTTTTTTATATATACCTTTAAATTTTTCATTTTTTCTGATTCAACTCCTTAAAATTTAAAATTTGTAAAAAGAACTTTCTTGCTCCCTTTCCATCACCTTTTCCTTCATCCTTCTTGTATCTCTTTCATTCTTTTCTTTTCCCAATCCTCGCCATTTTCTTTCTTTTCTTTCACATATCCTCATTTCTAAGGAGATTGGTTTTTAATGATTGGAGGATAAAAGAGGAGTAGGAAGCAAAGAGGAAGAGAGAGTGCAAGAAAAGAAGAGACGAATGAGGTTAAGATTTGTGGTGGAACGTTTAATTTTAGGTGTTGGGAGCCGGTGAAGTAAGTAGGAAGAGAGAGTGAGTGAACGTAAGAGGAGAAGAAGGAAGAGGGAATGGAAGAGAGGAGGAAATGTTGGGGATTTGGGGCTGTTTGGTTGCACACTTTTTTAGAAAACTTTTCTCAAAACATCTGATAATGGCAAATTTGTAATTAAAAGTTTTCCAGAGATTTCTGTAAATTATGTTTGGTTCAACAAAAAATTTAGTATCTCAAATTGTAAATCCCTAAATACCAAACCCAAAATCTAATACATGAATAAATAATAACAGGAGATAACCTCATCTCAGAACTTAAATACCAGGTCATATCATAACCCATATAAGTGTCATGTCCAGCCTATGCAAGTATAGGTGTCAATTTCAAGGTCTAAACTGATGTCCAACACATGGATTAAAACTAGATTGTAGGCATATAAAATTGCTTATAGGTCCTTTAGCTCAGCTCGGCACAAACCGACGAACCAACGAGGCGACGAGATCGACGAATCGCATCAAGCGACGGAATGCATCCATACACGTGCGGGATCAAGCCAAGGGTTCGAAGAGTCAACGAGTCATCCAACCAAAGGCATACTCGGACGAATGACGATCGAATCAAGATCGGTTTCGGACTCCAACTCAGAGGGCATAATTCGTAGAGCCGATTACCTTCTCGACTTCGTGGATTCCGCCGAGAGTGTCGATGGCACGTGAGGTGGAGGAGGGGTAGCCGGGGTAGTTGACGGCGAAGAGTTCCGATTGAGGGAGGACGCCGGACACGGCGCCGTTAGTTATGACGGAGGAGGGAGGGTTTTGGACGGCGCCGTTATCTTCGTCAGGGTCCATGGAGGATCGAGCTGGGGAGCGAGGGTGTTACAGGGTTTAAGAGGGGCTAAAATATCAAGGCCTAAATACTCCCACCTCTAAATTGACCATAAATAAACTTCCGAAAGTGGTTTTTAAGCAAGAAAAGAAAATTAAGAGTTTTTTATATATACCTTTAAATTTTTCATTTTTTCTGATTCAACTCCTTAAAATTTAAAATTTGTAAAAAGAACTTTCTTGCTCCCTTTCCATCACCTTTTCCTTCATCCTTCTTGTATCTCTTTCATTCTTTTCTTTTCCCAATCCTCGCCATTTTCTTTCTTTTCTTTCACATATCCTCATTTCTAAGGAGATTGGTTTTTAATGATTGGAGGATAAAAGAGGAGTAGGAAGCAAAGAGGAAGAGAGAGTGCAAGAAAAGAAGAGACGAATGAGGTTAAGATTTGTGGTGGAACGTTTAATTTTAGGTGTTGGGAGCCGGTGAAGTAAGTAGGAAGAGAGAGTGAGTGAACGTAAGAGGAGAAGAAGGAAGAGGGAATGGAAGAGAGGAGGAAATGTTGGGGATTTGGGGCTGTTTGGTTGCACACTTTTTTAGAAAACTTTTCTCAAAACATCTGATAATGGCAAATTTGTAATTAAAAGTTTTCCAGAGATTTCTGTAAATTATGTTTGGTTCAACAAAAAATTTACAGAAATATTTTCTATAAAATATCAAAACCTACCAAATTTTACAAAAAGCAATTTCCTCTCAAAATGAGAGGAAATCACCAGAAATCTGACACATACCATATTTAATTAAAAACCTACCAAATCTTGTTATTTTCTATAAAGTTATGAGCTATTTTCTTGTTTTGAACCAAACAAGCAAAGTACAAAAAACAAGAAAATTGGTACTTTTTGATTTCTCAAAACTTTTCCTATAATTTTTTTAAGAAATACAAGGAAATCATATTTTAGGTGAAAAACATTTCCTATAATTTCTAGAAATTCAACCAAACAAGATATTTGAGGAGATGAATTAATATAGAAAGTAAGTGTGATGATCCATAAAATAAGGTAGGAGAGGGAGTGGGGAAGGAGGGAAGGTTAGGGTATAGGAAGAATAAGGGAATGGAGAAGATGGTGAGAAGAAGGAGAAAGAAGATAGTGGAAAAAGAGAATGTTTTTTCATAAATTTCGGGGAAGGAGATGGGTTAATTTAAAAATCATGAGAGATTGAGTGGTCTATATATAAAATTTCTTTAATTTTTTGATAAAAAATAACTCTGGCGATCATAAAAGTCTATTTGTCGTCGAAGGGGTAAGCAAACGGTCGGTCGGTTCGGTTTTTGATCAAAATTTGACCAACTGAACCAAACCGCCTGTTATTCAAAACCAAATCGAACTGTCTGTTATTCAAAACCGAACCGAACTGCTCCATGTCGGTTCGGTTCGGTTAAGTTCGTTTGGTTCTTGCTTGGGTACGACACATTCAAATGTTATAAAAAATTTAAACACGCTTAATGTATTCACTGTAGAACTTTTTCTTTTGCTCTGTTCATGACTTATTTAGGTACTAACATAAGGGTTTCACAAAAAAAAACCACTAATCAAAATGAAAAAAAAACAAAGAAAGAGTATCAGAAGTAGAACCTGCTAAGAAAACTTGACAATGTTGAGATAATTGGCAATTCAGATCTAGAGCATCAAAGAGAATGATTCAATTGCCGAGCTTTCCAACTTATAACTGTTTGGTTCAGAAATTTTTATTTTCATTGTCTTGAATCTATTACAACTTCAGTTGTTACAATAAACTCAAATAAATAATAAGTTGATTTTTTATAAGACCTTCTTACACAATGAAAATATAAAGATTACAATTCCTTCAAACAACACACAACAACAGTTTATCTCCTATTGCTTGCGTAGGATCTTTGCTTGTGCTGGGGTTTATCCGTAGACCGCCTACGGATCGGATCCAGTTGACAGAATTATTAATCCAGATCAAAACCATTCCCTAGCTTCCTGTTATCAGCAAAAAATGATACTCTTTTTGTTATTATCTTATTAGGTGCAGATAGTTAATGAACCAAAATAAAAATTGTTTTTAACATCACCTCTCTTAAATTGTTGTATAAATCATGCTTTGTGGTCTCTCCTCTCCAGTTGACATGCTAGGTTAAAAGGTGAGAATAGGTAAAATAACTCCCAAGAGAAAATTAGCGCAACAATTCTTCAAGGAGTAAAAAGTAATCATTTGTTCCTGGCCAGTATGGATAAAAGAATGAAGTTTCTCCTAGATTTCCTACTACATCACGTTAATAACCTTATCCTTACCCTTCAGAGAAAATTGGCAAACATGAAGATATACATAGAGAGAACTTGTAGCCGAGAAAGAAGAAATTGAGGAAGAGGGAGAGAGATAATGAGTAGGAGGAAATTGAGATAGAAAGAGGGACATTGGGGATGGACGATGCACAATTCATTAAAATGAGCTAAAATCTGACTGTCCATAGCGATAACGACATTATAACATTCAAAATAAAAAGTTCAATAACATTAATAGGAGTACCAACTCTTCGATTTTCTTTGAAAAGGAGAAAGGGAAAGTTTAAATTGATATTGATAACTCAAAAATGTTCAACGCGTGTACACAAACATAAAATGTATGAGACAAGAGAGACGTGCACTTACAAGTACACATGCAAACCCTTGCATTGAATATATAAAAATTAGTATTGCGTAGTTGTGTATGCAGGTTCATGTGAATATTAATATAAAGATCCTCAGGAATGAGAAAATGGGAGACCTGGAAACTTGTAACATCCAAATCTACTATCAATATTCGTCCAAATCAAGCATGTTCGTCATCAAAGGCAGAGCACCAGATGAAAGATCAACATGCAGCCATGTCCAGTTTGAAAGCTATTAGTGTCATGGCATTATTCAGTATATCAAATTTCATCAAGGTACTCATTTCCAGTGACTTGGGGAAGGAAACTCAAACCATTATTCCAGTGTCGAGTTACCTCCGTCAAATTGTGACTTAGATTGACTCCCGTTTTGGTGATGCACCATTTCCCCCAAAAATAGCCAGGAATCGATGATATGCTCCATCCATTCTTCCTTTTTAAAGCAATCCATAACTTTGGAGGAAATAATCATTGAAAATAAAGATTCAGATATAAGCGTAGTAAGTATGAAATAGATCAAAGGGCCTCATTTCAAGTATGGTAATATGCAGAAAATATTAACAAATAGTACATCGAAGGATTCACCAAAAATTATATAAAAAGACCATTCCAAAGAAAAGAATGAGGTTAAAATTTATGTTGCCACTAGAAAAAATACTAATATTGGCTTATGGTGATCTTGTAGATGATTCATTAAATAATGCAACATAGTCATCAATGGTAAGTAAAGAAACCTTCAAAGACCTTTCTCAAGTTGAGGAGGTTAAATTTTAGTTACAACTAGCAGAATATTTAAGGTAGGTTAACATTATTTTTGTCGATCATTTATTGAATATTGCAATTCAGCTGTAACTGGGAGAAACTTCACATGGCACCCAGGTTATCAGTAAACAAAAACATGTTTCTCAAAATACAGAATGAACTGGGGCATAATGGTCCAAAGAAAAGTTGTCTGAAATAGTAATAGAAGTACCAACTCTGTGATTTTCTTTTAAAAATGGGGAAATAAGTAGTTTAAAATGCTAATAATAACCGAAAGATATCCACTGTGTACACGATTAAGAAACCATAATTACAAGTAGGGATTATATGGGAAGTAATTCCTAAGCTCTATACAATACTTGTCTCAAACACCCTAACATACAACATTCCTCCTAGAATAGCAACATCTAGCTTAATTTAGCTTGATATCTGATGGTGATATGAATAAAAATGGAGCAATCCTCTGCGGACTATTTTCCTTAATGATCTTCTGTATCTGTTAACCATTGAACTTGCGTGCCACAAGCAATGGAGAAGATTCAGTACATCCAACCAAAATTGAGCGCTAGTGTTCCTTCTATCGGTCTGGAAACTCAGCTGGTGCTTCAATTTAGTTATATTTCTTTAGGACTGAAACAAAAGCAGTAGAAACAAAAGGTTAGAGTATTAGCAGTGAGGTCAACCCACATTAGTTGAATTTATTGCCATCAAAAAAATTTAAAAGCTTAACAAAAGCATATAAAGTGAGAAGAATGGAAGTCTATTAGCAAAAAGAAAGAAGTATATGAAATGGTACCTGGATCATCAAGGATCGAATATTCATTTGGGATTGGATTCTGAGCCTTAGAATATTTGATGGACCAGCATTCTCTGTTAATGTGAGAAACTTCATTTCTGGCGAGCAGGCATTCTGCATTGTGATCAGAAAGCCTCATCTCTCATATTCACAATCATACACTACCACACCTTTTATAGGCCAAGAGTGTACATCTAAATACAATGATTCAAATGTAGAAATAGCGGCAACTGCAGTGTACTAAAATCAAAATAATATCTGGTAGGATGTATTAATTAATGAATCCATGTATCCTCTTCACGTGGGGTATGTATCTAGAGATTATCGAATGCACATGAGCTGCACCAAATCAAAACAATAACTGTTACTATGTATATAATTACCTCAAGGAAAAGGTATATACATAATTCACGAAACTAGAAGGTGTTATACATTGATAGAAGTAGATCATACACCTACCAGGTGCATGTATACGTTGATACTTGAATTTACTGACGATTTTATTAATATGGTACATACCTAAAGTAAATGAAATTTTATGAACATAGATGTTAACAGTACTGGTGCCCAAAAAAATAAAATCAAACTCAATCCTTAAATCATTAAAATTAATTGCTAGGTCTCTCAGTTTTATAAGTTGTTTAACCTCTCAATTACTATAACAAAAGTTGTAAATTATGATATATTTTTTGTCTCTACATGACACATTTTTTATATCCCACAAATGGAGCGTGAAACATATCAAAAGTGTGGGTAGAGCATGTGTAGAGAGCGTCTTTCTATACATGTGAGAATGTGCCGCAAATCTTGTGACTTATACATGTATCATAAAACTCACGACACATGTATGTGTCACAAAACTCATGACACATATATGTGTCAAGAGTGGTGACACATAAATGTGCCACAAAACTCATGACACATACATATGCTAAAAGTGGTGTCACATAGTTGTGTTTTGACAATAAAAATATAAAGAGCATTACCATTCAACACTATAACTTCTAATAAAATTACTTATCCTAGGATTACTCTCATCATAGCACACTTAACCATAAAGTTATTTGGCTTATAATCTATCATATATGTTTAATCGTCAATATACTTAAAATCTAAGACTTATTATTTAAGTCCATTAATAGATCCTCACTTAACCGATGTGTGACTATTAGCCTTTTTCAAATTTATTTTATTTAATTTTATATCTAATGACACAAATATGTGTCAAGATTTGTCACACATTTAATTAGGTCACTATTATTTAATTCTTTACAAATAAAATGACACATTTATAATATCATAAAGTAAATGGGGACACATGTGACTTTTGTTGTAGTGAATGAAGAAGAAATTAGGAGCCCAATGCAAAGTGGCTATTTTCCAGTACTATGAAAAAATCAAACAGGCGCAGATACAACTAATTCTGCAGAACATTCAAATCTGAGTCTAAACATCTACTTGGGTACAATAGTTCGAGAGATGAACCACCTTGCTGAATGAATTTGCGGCCTGAGCAGATAAAGAAAATTTATTCTAGAGACGGCTACTAATTAATACAGCGATACTTACAAAGAACCCGGAAAATGAAATAAATTTTTTTTGCAGCATACCTTTGTCAAAGATGAGCATGCACTGAAGATGACAATAACAGATAAAACCAGCAGAGAATGTTACTCTTCCCCTTGGTGTTTCCTGTCTATCAAGACTACATCCAGACAGAAACTTTAGGATTCCATTTAGAGAATAAATACAAGAATATAATAGAGAAACTGATGTTGCTACATTAGAGGATAGATACGAGAGAAAATAAATCCAAGACTAAGCAAGGCCTTCCAAATACTTGTACGATTGAACTCAAAAACACACAAGATTCTACACACACGAGTATAAACACAAATATATGACAAGGTCAAGAATATATATGCAAAAGCTATATGACAAGACAGATATGCACTCAGAAATGAAAATATGTAAACTCATACATGTGAATATATAAATGTTAATAGTACGTTAGTTGTGATCAGGTGACTATTGATCTGTAGATCTTATTCAATTAGCAACTGGCGTCAACAAGTCAATGAGAAAATGAGTGACCTGGAAACTGGTAGCATCTTGATCTTATATCAATTTACGTCCAGATCAAGCATGAAGGTCATTAACGGCATAGCACTAGATGAAAGATCAACGTACGACCATACCCACTTCCAAAGCTGTCAACAGCATGTCATTATTCAGTATAACAAGCTTCAGCAAGAAATGTGTTTCCAATGACATGGGAAGGAAACTCAATCAGTGCTCCAGTAGGATGTTACAGTCAAGTTGTGATTCAGAATGTACTCCTGTTTGGGAGATGCAAAAGTTCGAACAGAAAATGCCAGTTATTAATATGAATGTCGGTACCCACTGCGGGTGATCCGAACAGGTCCAAAGATGGCTCCCACGGTCTTGGGTTCAATTCCGGGGTGGGTTACTCAAAAAAATTATTAAAAAAATGAAAGTCTGTTTAGGTTAACTTAGTAGATGATTCATTGACTATTGCAACATAAACAGTAAGCAAAGAAACTGCAAAGACCTTTCTCAAGTAGACAAGTTTGAATTTAAGTTACAGCTGAATATTTTAGGTATCTTCAGGTTAATTCTGTAGACCATTCATTGAATATTGCAATTTCAGCAGTAAATGGGAGAATCTTCTCATGGCACCCACGGTATAGACAAACAAAAACATGTTCTCAAAGTACAGAACAAAGTTAATAAAGGTTTAACAAATAATAGCTAAAATGATAACAATTAAGAGAGGAAGAATTGAGATTTTGCATTGCATTCATATGAAAATTAATGCTCGCACAGAACTCCTTGTAACTCCTCGTAATGTTTCTAACAAAAGGAAGAACCTACAAGCTCTGTGAAGAGCACCAGAAAAGAAAAGATGCAAGGAAATAAGCAAGCAATCAAGGACAAACAACTAAAAGGAATCAAATAATTGTAAAATTCAAATTAAAATAATCTGAAACATTCAGTGAAGACGGTATTAAAACCATCTAAGCAATTCCGCAGTTGATACTACATACACCGCTACCTGCGAAACTTACAGACTATAACCGTATAAGTTACATAATAGTATTCCTGCAAAACTGTCATTCTTGGAGTCACCCTGGATTAGCTACAAATTACAAGAAACTGCAGGCATCTGATTGTAGAGGACCAAGCAGTTTGGTCCGAAGTTTCTGCTTTACTTTGAACAGACAGGCATGAATCTCCAGAAGTTTTCTGCTCGTCGAATCCCCAGTGGACATTACAGGGAAATCTTTCAATCAGAGCATTTCTGCCTTTATTGAGTCGCATTGAATAGCTCTTTGGCTGAAGTAGACCAACTATTTGATCTTGATCTATCTTATTCTCCAAATGAGTGGATGCAAATCTTCTCAAGTAGCAATGGCCAATCTTCTCCTAGTTGCTGTGGATTTAGCTCCATGGCTACCCTAAATTCCTGTAAAGATATAGAGCGATGCAGACCGTCACTTTGTACATGCATGTGGTTTCCTTGCCAGATACCGTTTATAGGCTTACTTTGAACTTGTTGCTTGTAGACTTGCGTATTCATTTGAACATGCCCTGATCTTGCTCCGACTAAGTCAACACATGACTTAATCAGTCTTTTCAAATACACATCTAACCCATTATTCAACAAATTAGCACAGTCCACGGTCACGCTGGATAGGCTTTGAGAATCTGCTATTCTCTCCATATGCATTCTCAAATCCTCAGAATCGCACAATTCACCATTATCAAAGCTACTACTGGTAGAGTCTAAGGTCAAAGGCCTTTGAGCTCCGCCAACACTTGGAGGGCAAAAAGGGATACCAAGAGGAGCCTGAAGTGGAACTTTTGCTGCTGACTTCAAATCATTCCTCTGTTCAAACTCCTCCCTTATATCATCCACTGTAACTGATCTCAGTGATGAGTCCTCTGCTATTCTTGACCTCTTCGCTGGTTGCTCCGCTGAAACTTCTTCTATATTCTGAACTGATCTCCTAGGACCACATATGCCCACTAAGTCACCATTCTCCTTAACAACAGCCTCACTATGACCTGCCAACACAAACTCTATTCGCCCATTAGGACCTAGAGGGCTCGGTCGATCCTTAATCCTCTGACCGCCTGTTCTGTTTCTCTTTGAAATCTCCCCATTGGACAACTTCAATGCATTATTATCAACAACAACTGATGCTGACATTGGGGGTGCTTTAGCTTGACAAGCGTTCTTAAAGATGGAGAAGATGAGTTGGTTGTGTAAGGGGATGTTGTCTTGCCCAAGGGTCAAAAGGCAGAGCTTGTTAAACTCAACTTTACTCAGCTTTTGAGAGAGCAATCTACTCAAATAGCTGAAGTAGCGCTGAGCTCGATCCGGACCCACCCGCTTGATTATCTGGGACTTTAAGTCCCCGAGATTGATCCGAGTGTTCATCTCTCATTAAACAGTCGCCATATAAATATTTGATCTTTTCTGTAAGATCAAGCAATTTGACGCAACTTGGTTTCTGGGCTTTGCCAAAACTTTAGGGCTTTTGCCTTTTTCTGAAAACTAACAAGAATGAACTCCTGAATTGAACAGTAGAAGCTGACTTGAACAACACAGAGGGAAAACACATGTTTTTGAACTTAAAAACCCTAGAGAGAAAATCTCGAGCTCCAACCTCGAGAATTTGAAAGGGCAGCGGTCAAAACCCTAGAATCGAATCCCGAACTTGAGGAAACCCTCGCCCAGATCCAGAACTGAGTCCGGCGATCTATGATCGGAGAATTCAGTCAGCACGAGGTGGATCTCGAGAGCGCGCAATTCCACGCCAATTGAACTAGAGATCAAGGAACGAGAAACAAAAGCTAGGGTTTCGAGCTGACCTTTCGAAGTTCAGAGTAGCATTGTTCGAAATTGCCCCCATTCAAAATTCGAAACGCTCCAAACTTTCTACTGTGCCCTCTGCTTACTTTGCTGTTATTTCTGCTCGATTTCGTATTCGCGTTGAAGAGAATGAAGTCGACGGGTCGATCACAGCAGCACTCCTTCTCTCTCTTCAAACTTCCTCTCGATTTCTAATTCCATTCGCTTTTTATTTTCCAAATTTCACCATTTTTCTCCTTTTAAATATTTGAGAAAAGGGAGTTCACTAATAACTTACGAGCTCTAATTATAAAGAGATTAGAGTGAAGTGAGCGTGGAGCGAGTGTACTCTCGCCCCTTGCTTTTTTGTTCTCTTTTCTATTTTTGGGATGAAATTGATTGGATGATTTTGGAGTGAAAAGTCAACGGCGGGTCTTTTTCGACTTCTATACTTGTAGTTTGTGTGCACAAACTCAAAGGACTGTCACCAAAGGCTTGGGAACTGCCATTATCTGTGGAGACGGAACCAAGAAGATTCATTTTTTTTTAATTCTATATGTTTAAAGGATTTGTTTTGATTTTAATGTGTCCTTTTATTTTATTTTTCATGTTTCTTTGATTAAGTACAATAAGTAGGAGGAATTAGATAAATGTATTTGTCCCCTCCTAAGTTTTCAAAAAGCGTAGCATTTTATCCCCCGTGTGTCTATTTGTTGCACCTTCAAGACAAATTGTAAGTATAGTTAAGATGAAATGGTTGCTCCTTAATTTACTGGAGGTTAAGACTAATTCCAAATGACACCATTTACACTAGGTTCGGATAGAGTTTTTCAGGGGAGGAGGGGGAGGGAGGGGCATGTTTACAATGCTAACCTCCCCAAACATTGTGTTTATTTACACTTTTTAGTTAGCCGGGTGAGGGAAGGGGAATGAAAAAAATTAGAAAATTTAGTCACTTTCTTAACCCTCTAAAAGTGGATGGATTAGGAGAGGTAGGGAGGAGTTTCAAGTAGAATTTTCTTAAAATTTTAGTATTGTCATGCATGAGAAAACCAAAAAACGTTTCTTTTGTATTTTATTAGAAAGGCAAACTGGTCAATAGCTCATCTTCCCTTCCCATCCACTACCGTAAACAAACATATATTATAGTGTACTCTCTCGTTCCCTCGTTGTCTGTCCAAACACAAATAAATTCCACCCTTTTCCTTTCTATTCCCTACCCTTGGGTTTAATAAGTCAATCGCTCCCCTCACCTCACCTCCTTTGTATCCAAACCGACCGTTTACTATGCCCTCCTATATTACATTTATTCATAACTTAAACTTAAGAAGAATTATAACCATGCACAAATGCATAGATGGATGTAATGATGAGGTTTTTGCCTTATGAATTGGATGTTACGGGTTCGAGTCTCGGAAACAGCTTATCCACAAGGATGCCACCGTGTGTGCATATAGTGGAACCTCGTGCACTGGGTCACCATAAATGTAATTAAATTAGTTGTATCTCCTTACTTTATGGGCCAAATGACCAAGAGAAGCCATTAAATTCATGGGTTAATTTTGCAGAAGCCCCCAAAAGCTTTAGGGAACTTTTGCCAACAACACCCCTGAACTTTTCTGTTTGACAATACTCCCTTGACTTTCACCTATTCGTAATTGATAAATAAATAAAATGTCTTTAAGAGGATAAAAAGCTCCCAATGTAGTCATTTCGATTTACAGGAAACACACACCCCAATCCCCTAATTGAGGGTTTTTATCTCTCAGGTAATTTTTAAGTTATTTGCCAATTCGATGTAGGGGGTCCGGTGAAAAAGTTAAAATTGTAAGGGGATTTGTGAGACACTCCAAATTTCAGGATGATTTTGTGAGATAAAATAAACAAGGGGAGTTATGTGCGAAACCTCTCCAAGTTCAAGGTGGGTTTTGTGAAAAGTTAACCAAAAATCTTCCTCCACCTCCTGAAACTTCCACCATTCCAGTGCCCTTCAGCCACGTGGCAACCTTCCCATCTCATAAAAGATAAGACTACCAATCACTCGGCCTCGTCCTCGCATCGACGCACCCCCACGAAACCGAAGAAGAACCAACAGTCAATAAAATTAACAGAGACGTAAGCCCAAAACTTTGAGAGAAAAAAAAAACCCCAATAAAATCAACAAGAAGCAGCTAGCACTCTCTCCCCAGCTACAAAACAATTCAGCTAGAATCATTCATGGCCATGGCCATGGCATCGTCTTCCTCCCCTCATCACGGCTTTCTCACCGGAAGCAGTCCTCTCTTCCCTCTTATTAACAAGAATCAATCGACGTCGAAGCCTCACCGAGGTTTTACAGTTCCTTACTGCCGTTCATCCATGGATAAAAAAGAACCAGAGCCAAACAAGTACGTGACCTTGTTCTTTCGTTGTTGACTGTTATACTTGGACTACTTGATATCTAAGATACGTACGCTGTATTCTCATTCTCTTTTTCACATAAATATACTCTACAGTACAAATTTGTCGGAACGATCTTATGAACCATCTGACATAAGAGTTTCACGTCGATTAATAGAATATTTTGGGATCCCAACTCGTTGATGATCCGTCAATGTGAGCCCGACCAGTGATGACTATGGTTTATATCAGCCTGCAGGTAATTTGAAGGGGGAGCAAAACTGTTGAAAAGACTTCATGCGCGCCACATGATTTATTGTTAACGTATTTTCTAATGGTCAGCTTAATTAGTGTACCGTTTTGAACTATTTAATTAAATTTTGGCCTTGTAGAAAGAAAGAAACCCGATGTTATAATATATATCCATCTCAGCTGTTTGTAATCTTCATTGATTTATTAGTGGAATTATGAACTGGTTATTATACTCTGAGAATACAAGTGGTCTGACTTTTGAACCTCGTTAGATTTCTGTATTCCTACGATTATTTTCTTAATTTTCTATGTTTTTTTTCCTTTTATTGGTATATATTGTTAGATCTACATCATAAAACTTGAGATCTAAAACCATATAGCCATGATTAATTCAAAGAGATTAACAATAATCAAAAGAGCGGAAGCTTATACCTGAATCCATGGATGAACCTTGAGATGGGTTTTGGATCTTCTAACCTTAGGGTTCCTCTAAATCCGAATTTCTCTCTTAGATGGGGGTGAAGAGAATTAGAGAATGTAACCCTAGGTTAGGGACCATAACCCCTTATTTATAGATGTTGTACTTTTGTAATTTAGCCCCTCAATAAATTACAATTACAACCTGGTATCTGCACATATAACCCCATGACTTATTTAAATACCAAATTAACCCAACTTAATTGATCACTTTAGTGGGTTATCCTGAAAGATAGCAATACACATTGATTAATCATATGTGCCCACAAATAGATTTATTAGATTAAATCCAACAATCTCCCACTTGGGCACCATATGATTCCTTAAACTGTGTATAACCTTATGAGCTCAAAAATGCTATCACTGAATTGGTATTTCCGAACAATCTCGTCCATTGACTATATCAATATAGGATCAAAGCGGCCTTCGTCACATTTATCGTGACTCGACCCATCAATGGTCACATATACCAATACAATCAAACGACATAGATCAATCATGGATGTGCAGCATGAAAATTACATGCAATGTGATCAGTACATGTCTATTTTCAACTGGTCCTCCTTAGTGAGGTCAAAACCAAACATAATGTAACAGAGTGTCTTAACTGAAAACTTTATTCTGATCAGACAATACAAACAAACATAAAGCACCACAAATACAAACTCCCACTAAAACATAATATCCTCAAATAATACCACACCCATATGAGCAGTATGCTCATGAAAGACCTTAGGTGGTAATCCCTTAGTAAGAGGATCAGCTATCATGGAGTTTGTCCCAATGTGCTCTATGGATATCTGTCCACTCTGTACCCTTTCTTTCACAACCAGGAACTTAATGTCAATATGTTTTGACTTAGTTGAGCTCCTGTTGTTATTGGAATACATTACTGCAGATTTATTGTCACAATATAACCTTAGTGGTCTTTCAACATTTTCCAAAATGCGCAGTCCCGTGACAAAATTTCGCAGCCATATTCCCTGATTGGATGCCTCATAGCAAGCTACAAATTCTGCTGCCATAGTGGAGGAAGCTACTAGTGTTTGTTTGACACTTTTCCATGATATAGCTCCTCCTGCTAACATATAAATGTAGCCTGATGTAGACTTCCTGCTATCTTGGCATCCAGCAAAATCAGAGTCCGAATACCCAATGACCTCTAATTTCTCTGATTTTCTGTATGTGAGCATGTAATCTTTTGTTTTCTGAAGATACCTCATAACCCTTTTGACTGCTATCCAATGATCCATACCAGGGTTGCTTAAGTATCTGCCTAACATCCCAACAATGTACGCAATATCCGGACGCGTACATACCTGAGCATACATTAGACTTCCTACAGCCGAAGCATAAGGAATCTTCTGCATTTCCTGAATTTCAAGGTTACCTTTAGGGCACTGATTGAGACTAAACTTGTCTCCTTTAGCAACAGGGGTGTCACCTGGTCTGCAATCTTGCATGCCAAACCTTTTAAGTACCTTATCGATATAGCTCTTTTGTGATAATCCAAGAATACCCCGAGAGCGATCTCGATGTATCTGGATCCCTAATATAAAAGAGGCGTCCCCAAGATCTTTCATCTCAAAATTCTTTGATAGAAATCTCTTGGTTTCGTGCAACATGCCTATATCATTAGTGGCAAGCAAGATGTCATCCACATACAGAACCAGAAAAATATACTTACTCCCACTGAACTTGTGATATACACAGTCATCAACAATGTTCATCTCAAAACCGAACGAGATAACTATTTGTTGAAACTTATGATACCATTGACGAGGAGCTTGCTTGAGTCCATAGATGGATTTCCTTAATTTGCAAACCATATTCTTTGGGTCTCCTGACACAAAGTTTTCTGGTTGCACCATATAAATCATCTCATCAATGTCTCCATTGAGAAATGCAGTCTTAACATCCATCTGATGTAACTCAAGATCATAATGAGCAACAAGTGCCATGATTATTCTGAAAGAGTCTTTCGATGAAACCGGAGAGAAAGTCTCTGTATAATCAATGCCTTCCTTTTGAGTATAGCCTTTAGCCACAAGACGCGCCTTATACCTCTCCACATTACCGTTTGCATCCCGCTTGGTTTTAAAAATCCATTTACAACCAATTGGTTTTGCACCTTCTGGCAATGGGACAAGTTCCCAAACCTTATTGTCTTGCATAGACTTATACTCTTCATTCATGGCATCAATCCACTGTTGAGAGTTAGAACTTTTCATGGCCTGAGAGAAGTTGATTGGATCATCTTCTAACATTCCACTACTTTCCTCATGTTCTTGGAGAAATACAATATAATCATCCGGAATAGCATTTCTCCTTTCTCTCGTGGATCTCCTTAATGGCACTGGTTCTTGAGGTTGTTGAGTTTGTTCTTCTGGAACAGGGAGTTGTTCAACATTATCATCTTGAGGTTCCGGATTTACTTCTTGAGCAACAACAGGTATAGGAACCTGAATATTGTCAAAAGTAACTGTATGGATTGGATCTGAAGCCAATTCCTCCTCAAAACTAATGTCTCTAACCTTATTTCTCCCCCCAAACTCAACATCCTCAAAGAATGTTGCTGTTCCCGTCTCAAAAATATTCCTTATAGTGGGATCATAAAACTTATAGCCCCTAGAGCGATCAGGGTACCCAATAAAGTAGCTGCTAACTGTTTTGGAGTCCAATTTCTTTTCATTTGGCCTATAAGGCCTTGCCTCAGCTGGACATCCCCAAATATGTAAATGCTTTAAACTGGGCTTTCGACCAGTCCAAAGCTCATAAGGTGTTTTAGCAACTGCTTTACTTGGTACTCTATTCAGAATGTAAGCTGCTGTCTTAAGTGCTTCTCCCCAGAGTGACTCTGGTAAAGAAGAATGAGCAATCATACTTCTTACCATATCCTTAAGAGTCCTGTTTCGTCTTTCAGCTACACCATTCATGCTAGGTGAACCCGGCATAGTGTACTGTGGGACGATACCGCATTCCTCTAGGTATCTAGCAAATGGTCCTGGACGTTGTTCACCTGAACCATCATATCTACCGTAGTACTCACCACCACGATCAGATCTGACGGTTTTAATTCTTCTGTTGAGTTGATTCTCAACTTCAGCTGACTGTATTGAGTACGAGACTCACTTAAGCACGAACGCGAGGTTCGTCTGAAAATGAACGAACGCGAGGTTCGTTTGATAAAAGAACGCGAGGTTCAACTTGGGAACGAACGTGAGGTTCGTTAAAAAAAAATGAACGAGAACGAACGCGAGGTTCGTTAAAATTGAGCTTGACGCTCACCTGAGTTGAACGCGAGGTTCACCTTAGAACGAACGCGAGGTTCGTTAAAATTGAGCTTGACGCTCACCTGAGTTGAACGCGAGGTTCACCTTAGAACGAACGCGAGGTTCGTTAAAATTGAGCTTGACGCTCACCTGAGTTGAACGCGAGGTTCACCTTAGAACGAACGCGAGGTTCGTTAAAATTGAGCTTGACGCTCACCTGAGTTGAACGCGAGGTTCACCTTAGAACGAACGCGAGGTTCGTTGAGCGCGAAGCTCGGTTAAAATTGAACGAACGCGAGGTTCGTTTGAGGTAACCACCTCCTTAATTTTCGCCATGAACCCTTAGGGTTTCAAACTGAAACCGCCGCCGACAAACCCAAAAAACCTTTGATTTTTATTTTCAAAACAGATCCAGAATTGGAAAAAATTGAAGGAAAAATCAAAGAAAACCCAAAAACCTTTGATTTTTATTTTCAAAACAGATCCAGAATTGGAAAAAATTGAAGGAAAAATCAAAGAAAAATCCAAAAAATTCCCAAAAGTTACTGTTCACCGGCGATTTTTTCAGTTACTGTTCATCCGGAAAAATACTTTACTGTTCATCCGAAAAAATTTTCGTTACTGTTCACCGAACATTACTGTTCATCCGAGAACATTACTGTTCATCCGAACCCAAAAATTGAACTTTAACCAGAGATTTAAGATCAAAAACCCAATAAAACTTAAATCCCTAAGAATTAATCAAGGTGGCTATGATACCACTTGTTAGATCTACATCATAAAACTTGAGATCTAAAACCATATAGCCATGATTAATTCAAAGAGATTAACAAAATCAAAAGAGAGCGGAAGCTTATACCTGAATCCATAGATTGATCTTGATTTTGGGTTTTGGATCTTCTAACCTTAGGGTTTTCTCTTTAGCCGAATTTCTCTCTTAGATGGGGGTGAAGAGAATTAGAGAATGTAACCCTAGGTTAGGGACCATAACCCCTTATTTATAGATGTTGTACTTTTGTAATTTAGCCCCTCAATAAATTACAATTACAACCTGGTATCTGCACATATAACCCCATGACTTATTTAAATACCAAATTAACCCAACTTAATTGATCACTTTAGTGGGTTATCCTGAAAGATAGCAATACACATTGATTAATCATATGTGCCCACAAATAGATTTATTAGATTAAATCCAACAAGGTAAGATTAAAATTCTTTTTTCAAAGCAAACCAGTCTGTTATTGTAAAAATGAACCAAACCTCGATCGGTTCAATCAAGTTACTCGGTTTGGACCGCTGGACGTGGGTCCCGTAAAGACTATGGAAGGCAAAGACCCAGGGATCCAGCTCACCGACCTTGATTAAAATACGAGTAACTGATGTATGTAAAAATAGAATTTTTTGCAATTGAAAGGAAAGCGAGGCCTCTCTTCGTGAGGGGCGAGATAATAAATATTAGTTGGCCCAGGGTTTAAGACGCAAAAGGTTAACCGACGCCGGCCGGAGTTTTCTTTAAAAGAGAACGCGGAAGAGACGGAGAGAGAGAGAGCACGAATCTTGGGGTCGATTGGACGGTGCTCATCCTCGTGATCGAGGTGCGTTTTTCTTTTTTCCTTCGACTTTGCTCTGGATCTTAGGTTTCTTGCTTCTCGAAGCTTTTGATTTTTCCCCCAGTTTTTTTGATGTATTTTTGTAAGTTTTTTATTTTATTAAGCTTTGATCTTCAATTTGTGCATTGACATCTGATTTCTGTTTTTTTAATTAAAAAAAAAATTAACCTAGTCTTCAGATCCGAATGCGGTTTCTCATTTGTTTATTGTTTCTTTTTCAGTTGAGATTTGTAAATTGCAGCTGTTATAAATTCATATTTTTTAGCCCTAATCCTTCACGCGTTGACTAAAAATTTTCAATTTTGTTTGCGGAATTAGCTTGTATTTTCTACAGGATTAATTTGATTTCTTCCTGATGTAAACTTTGTTATTTCTATGTACATAATCCTGATGTGTGATTAATGCATATTTACACTGTTTCTTGATTTGAAATTTGCCTACCTTATTTTCCCCCTTTTCTTGAAGATTTTCTGTAAAATTTTGAATTACACTTCCTGATGAGTAATTTAAATTGATTTTAGATTATATAGGTACTTTAATTACTGTTTTTCCTTTAAATTTCAGATATTCTGGAGTTAATTCTCCATTCAGCCATCTGGCAGTAGCCCTACAGGCTAAAAACCAAACCCTAAACGAAAGTAGTCCATGCATTAATTTGTCAGAATTGAAACCCACAAACATTAGGCATCAGCATGATTTGTTCTGTTAAATTGAGCTGAAAGAAACCCTAACAACAGAAGTAGAATCAGAAGGAAAAGAAAACAAAGAAGTGAGTAATGGCTAGAGAGGGGAGGAGAAGGGAGCGGCTCCGATGGAGCAAGCTCTATTCTTTCTCTTGTGTTCGTCCTTCGGTTCTCTCTGACTTAGAACCCCCTCAATCCCTCCAAGGACCCGGCTTTTCACGTACAGTCTACTGTAACCAACCCCGCATTCACCGAATAAAACCTCTCAAATACCCAACAAATTATATCTCCACTACAAAGTATAATATCATCACGTTCCTCCCCAAAGCCATTTTTGAACAATTCAGAAGAGTAGCCAATATCTACTTCCTTTTGGCTTCAATCCTCTCCCTTACTCCCGTTTCCCCCTTCTCTCCCGTTAGTATGATTGCGCCGTTGGCTTTTGTTGTTGGGCTTAGTATGGCTAAGGAGGCATTGGAATTTTCGTTACTGTTCACCGAACATTACTGTTCATCCGAGAACATTACTGTTCATCCGAACCCAAAAATTGAACTTTAACCAGAGATTTAAGATCAAAAACCCAATAAAACTTAAATCCCTAAGAATTAATCAAGGTGGCTCTGATACCACTTGTTAGATCTACATCATAAAACTTGAGATCTAAAACCATATAGCCATGATTAATTCAAAGAGATTAACAATAATCAAAAGAGCGGAAGCTTATACCTGAATCCATGGATGAACCTTGAGATGGGTTTTGGATCTTCTAACCTTAGGGTTCCTCTAAATCCGAATTTCTCTCTTAGATGGGGGTGAAGAGAATTAGAGAATGTAACCCTAGGTTAGGGACCATAACCCCTTATTTATAGATGTTGTACTTTTGTAATTTAGCCCCTCAATAAATTACAATTACAACCTGGTATCTGCACATATAACCCCATGACTTATTTAAATACCAAATTAACCCAACTTAATTGATCACTTTAGTGGGTTATCCTGAAAGATAGCAATACACATTGATTAATCATATGTGCCCACAAATAGATTTATCAGCCAAGAGCGGTGGCCGGGTTGGTGGCCAGGCCTTCCGGTCGTCAGCCCCAAGGAGTTCGGGTCCGAGGATCAACAACTCTAGGTGAGAAAAACAAGACCCTAAAAGTGTTTCTTTCTTTTGCGAGGGAAGTATATATTTAGTGCTTTTGTTCATTGTTAATTTCCCTTTGAAAACTCATCTTGGATTTCTTAAATACACAACACCCCAATTAATATTCACCAACCCTCTTCTCAAATTTATGAGAACGGGACAAAGAAAGGGGATCAAATGCAGAGAGAACGGAAGCACAAAGAGGGCCGTCGCCAGAGATTCATTCTCTGCTCCAAATCACGCTCTCTCTCTCTCTCTCCTCTATGAACAGGGTTTCCCTTTTATAGGGAAACCCTAGGGCGAGCTCTCTTCAATCGGATGGGATCCAGCTGTATCCCACCACAGCTCCTCAAGCGAACTTCGAACATGCGAGTTCATCTCCAGTTGGGTCTAGCTGGATCCAACCACGCAACAGGCGAATTCCCAACATGCGAACTATGCTCTTCACACAGGCAAGCTCCCACTCGATAGGCGAACACCCGCAGGTGAGTCTCCCCGCTAAACGCCCTCGCCTGCAAGCTCCGCAGGTGAGCTTCGACTCCACGCAGCAGGCGAGATCCGCTCGCCTCTCCACGCCCGCGAAGCCGCCGTTCACTGTTCATCTCCGTCTCCTACGAGATCGCCGTCGTCGTCCTTCAGGTACGATCTTCTACATGAGAGACCACTAGTTTAATCAAGTTGTTGATTCTCTACTAGTTTTATGATTTGTCTTTGAGTACAAATTTAGGAATAAATACGCTTTTCATGAGACTATGGTGAGTTCTAGATTCATAATGAATGACACTAGATAACCGATATCTGTGATAACACTAATGCTCTCTTCACTTTGTTATTAGTGAAGAGCGATCTAAATCCAATGCTAAGGAATTAGGTACTTTGCCATTGTAATTTTTCTACTAATTAACACGTCTCACTGTATCATTTGTATGACTAGTTCATTTGCTTCATAACTCAGTTATCCCCACTGATTATCAACATTTTCTTAGTCAATGAGAGCAAGCTAATAAGTTGAATTTGGAACAGGACCAACATCTACATCAATCCTCCAGTGGCTCCCCCTCTTGTTGGCGGCTATGGCTATGGTGTTTATGGTGGATGGGGATGGTCACCCTTCTCATTCTTCGCACCGGGACCCAGCGTCGCCGTGGGTGTTGGAGGTGGGTTTGATTTCTTCTTAGCAATCTTGGTGTTTGGCGCCATTGCAACCGTCGTCAGAAGATTCTCAGCGCGCGGGGATGAAGATGAGGATGACTACTGATACTATGCGTGATTTTGTACGGAGCTTGTGTACAAAACTAAGAACAATCTTCTTCTTCTTTTCCCTAATATTTTTCACCATGATATTAATATAGAATAACTGCATGATGTAATTTGATGGTTGAAATGAAAGGAATGCTTCAACGTATTTGAACCGTAATATTTGTTTTCATCATGTTGACAGGATCATGAAAACATAACTGTAAGCTTGGCGAACTACAATTAGAACAAAGAAATGTGCCGTCTCACCTTCGTGCAACTCAGTGAAATTTATTGTATAGTTTCTTTCTGAGAGGTATTACCATCATAATCAATCAACTCAAGACTAGAACTCATCTACATTGATAAACAACACAATGAATGCTAAAGAACTCTTTTAACACGAAACATTCTGATACAGAAAACAGAGTAGTCAACAATATCAAATTCACTAAAAAAATCACGCCAAGTTTTCCAAGTAATCATCCAGAAAGACATAATCCAAATTATACACTGCCGAATAAAACAAGCTTAAATAACAATGAAGATAGGAATCCCTTAAGCAACTAATGCAATTCGCCAGACATGATCCTAGAATACAGAAGGTTGCAACAAGCTTTGCTGCAATCCGTTGCAACTGCAGAACAAAATAGAGGAGACAGAAACCAGCAGCTTGTCTACGATAGTCTAGCACTCGCAACCTGATGACCTTGGCTGCCTCCCACCACCAGCCACATCCACAGTATCCGGAAGATATCTTCACAAAAGCAAATGGCATTCTCAAACAAACATTCTCACAAGGTATAGAGATAAATAAATGTAGTTACAAGGGTTATATGTATACTTCAAGTAGGCCATTGTCTGACGAGTATTATTGACAGCAGCAAGTGCATGGAGCTCAAAGTCAGGTCAGCCCCTAACGTTTACAAGAAAATTCTAAGAAACCATTGGTCTAATATTTTAACTCATTAAGCCATTACAGATATCACTTTCCATCTATTGAGTCCTCATGGTGGTTCTCCGTCCTAAAGGTAGCCAAAAACACTGCTATTTTGAGGACGAAGTGTGAATATTTATGATGAAATACCACCATGGGAACTCCATAAACTGAAAATAATAAGGGCTAAATGAATTAAAATAATAGGATAAGGGCCTCTTAGAAATTTCAAGTAAATGTTTGGGGCTGACATGACTTTCAGCTCCTGCTACATGTTAAAAGTTTCCGCCTTAGTGGTGATGGAAATTTCATGATTAAATTACATCTAAGAGAAGACAATGTAGTACTCACATTTCTTCCTCTGGTTCATTCTTCAATGCATTCTTGGCTATGCACTGGAAAGCAGCCTCAACATTGAGTCCCTCTTTAGCAGACGTCTCGAAGTATGGAATGTTCCCCTTTGAGGCGCACCATGCTCTTGCCTTCTTCTCGGATACCTGAAAATAAACATATCAAAACACAATTTAGCGGGAAAAAAGAGGGAGAAAAAGCATAAAATCCAGACCGTGTTTTTCAGATCAAAAATAGATTTAAAATGAAGAAATATCACTTACCACACGGCTATTCCCACCATCGACATCTATCTTGTTTCCCAATACTACAAATGGAAAGTTATCAGGGTCGGATGGGCTAGCCTGTAATTAGACCCCAAGGAGTTATCGTTTAGTGCATAATTTGTATAACATCTGGGAAACTTCTCTCAGGAAAAAACTTCTGAGGAACTTCTTCAAAGGCTGGAGAGATTTGTTTTACCTGAATTAGAAATTCTTCACGCCAATTGTTAAGGTTGTCAAATGATTTCATGACATTAACATCATACACAAGGACACAACAATCCGCACCACGGTAAAAAGCTACACCAAGACTCTGAAATCTTTCTTGCCCTGCTGTATCCCATATCTAGAGAATACAATCCAGAAAAACAAAGAGTTAATAATAACAATAATGTCAATAAAACTGTCAGCTGTCTTTAATGCCAACTTTCAATGAGAAACAAACCGTATTTCATGCCTCAATAAAGGAAGAGGTCAAAAGGTGCAATATAGAAACAAGAATCAGTAACACTGGGGCCAAAAAATGAGTGTTAATAATGCATCATGTTCACCAATTTATCTCAAACATGAGGTTCTAAGCATTTAAAACAATATCCATAACTTTTGCGCACTTACCAAAAAGAACCAATTCCCAGCAAATATGTCAATCAAGAAACACAAGCTTTACTACTGAAAATATCCTTCACCAAAAATCATAAAAGGAAGGACTCTAATGATGATATCTAAAGAGCGTCAATTCTTGCAAGGCAAAAAGAAACCATGACTCCCATAGACACCAAAGGCAAAAGAGAAAAATGACATTATTAACTCAGCAGCTTTAGTAATGATCAACAAATTCACACTTATTTGACACTGAAGGGACCGTATTCATCCCATATGACATCTTCCAACCCACTGCTTATTTTGGATATAAAGCATAATGAATTTCTTTGCAGGATGGCACTTTTTAAAACTATAACAACTACATGACACGGGGCATGGACAAATTATCTAAAGTAATTTGTATCTAACTGATAATTCATTATGCATTTTAGAACATCAGATCTGGTTCACCATCATGATTAACCAGATAGGGGCCCCGTCCCTGTGCTACTGACTAGAATCTTTTTAGCTCGCCCTAATTCTAAACTGAATATATAGTAGTCTAGAACACTTCATGTAATTCTTGCACAAACTATGTGCACTCCACTTATTTTCTACGTTTAACATCATAGACAACTTACTGACAAGAAAACAGAGATATAAGCATAGAGAGGTTTCTTAGCAAACATATATAATTTTCTTCTTTCATGACATATTTTACAGCATAAAGCATTTGTTTATATGCGTGTTTAATAACAGAATTTAACATGGAATATGTCATAATTTCATGACGTGCAGTACCAAGACTCTCAAACTTTAGAGGTAGTAGAGCTTCAAGGTCTTCTGCTAAGAGTACAAACGAATATCCCTGGGTCAATTTTGATTGGATCTGCATACAATTGACCAAAACCTACCTGATTATTAATTGGCTAAAAGAATCTTACCCTAACCTAACCTGGTAGTGATCAGGTAGCCCAAACTGAACAAGATTAATCTGTTTAGAGGAATCATGCTCACCCAAGGCGATATATATCAGATTCCAACTAGAAGGCAGAGGATGCAAACAAATCTTTCCTTCACTTTTCAGAAGAACATAGAAGTTAGAAGGAATAAGGATGTTAACATTTACATACTTAAGGGCACAAACATTTTAAGGGAATAAGAATGAAATTTATATGTCCTAGCAATCTCCAATGTCCATATGAACAACACATTTACGAGCTTGCAGTCTAGTATTCTAATATCTATCAGCACCAGCAACTTTACCAGCTTACAGTCTAACAAAGAAAATGAATATAATCAAACTAAACGTCCTTTTGGGCAATCAATTATTGCAAAGAAAAAAAAAAGCTAGCAGTACAACTTAGTACTCACAAATGCTGATGCTGTTGTGATTGGAATCTAGCAAAACTTAAACCTTCACTTGGACTTCACAGAGAGATCACCGCCATAATATCCATAATTCAAACTATGATACTTTAAATAAAAAACTGATAGCAATACAACTTAGTATTCAAAATGGTTTAGCTCTAAAAATTCTACAACATGAAGAAGAATACAAGCATACAACTACCATATGTAGGTCCAAGCATTACATAATTCAACTGTGACATGAATGTTGAAAAAAGATCATGCTGCAATTATACACCAAATTAAAACGACAGGCATAAACACAGACCATAACTTGTTCGGGGAATTCGATTTCAATGATGAAAGAACGCAAGATTTACATGCTTCATTAATATAATTCTTGAAGAAAATGAACGAAGAAAATAAACTTAGTTTCACCTGCAACGTAAAGAGGCGATCTTCAAATTGGACTTCTTTTGTTAAGAAGTCAGCTCCAATTGTAGCTTTATACTGATTGCTAAATTTACGATTCACGTATCTAACCAATAAATTTCATCGTCCACAGGTTAAAAGTAATAAAAATAACAAGAATAAATTATATACAAATAAGAAGAAAAAAATGTAATTTTTAGGGTTCGAGCATACTGATTCATCAGCGAAGTCTTCCCAACCCTAATCAATCAAAGAACAACAAAAAAATCGAATTAAACAAACAAAAAACCCTAAATTTTACATAATTGAGTCAGATCGAGAGAAGTACCCGCTGTCGCCGAGGATTATGACCTTGAGAAGCATTCTCCTCCGAGAAGCCATGGATTCGAACCTAGAAGGTTATTTTCACAGATCTACAGTCGCGAGCTAGGGTTTCCCAAAAAGATACCGAAATTGTTGACAAAATGGGATTTTTCCCGATTTTTGGTGGGAAGACCTAACAAGAAGAAGAACAAACAAGACAGACCAAAATTATATAGGTCTTTTTTATATTAGTCCCTTACATCTTAAGACTTCGAAATTGGCTCCTACAATCTCTAAAAGTACTATTAGAAACCTTATTTCCGAGATAAGGGGGTAAACGATTGAATCGAATCTAATATTTGTAGTTGTTTATATTTGTAGTTGTTAAAAATTATCAAATTTAAACATGAATTCAAATATCATCTGGAGTTTTCCAAATTTGAACTGGAATAATCAGCATTTGATAAATAATCATAAATATTCATGAATATTTATTAAATATTAAAGTATATTCATTCTATTAAAAATATTTAATTTTTAAATAGTATTTAAATGTTTTCTTTATAATTATGATATATATATGTATTGAAAATATAGCATCATGTTTTAAATAATATAAACTATAAATAATCAAGTTTTGAACAAATATATAATGAGCATATAAGTCGAATACACTTCTAGTTAAATTATATTCGTTAATAAAATTTATATATTATATATTATTTGTTTAGTATGAAATAAACTAACGAATTGAATGTAACGAAATAGTTACTAAAACAATTAATACTTTATTTGTTAATTTTTTTTGTTCGTTTCACCCCAAACTACAGAGTATGGAGAGACTAACTTGAGGTAGTTTACAGGAATAGAGCGACCTAATAGCAATACAAATGATTTGAGGGACTAATTTTGAAACTAAGAATTGGATAGTTAGTAGAAATTTCGATGAAACTATTAAATATTTAAGGGAATAATATGAGAAAAAAAAACGAGGAATATACCAATATAATTGTAGTAAATGACGAAACAGGTCACTGTCAGATGACAAGCTGACGAGTGGGCCCCGTCCAAAAGTCTCCGGTAATGGGTCATATGAATTAAGGTATGCCACGTATACAAACCTGGTCAAGCGAGGCCCACGTTGTGTGTGTGACGTAAGGGGTGCATGAGAAAACAACATAAAAACAAAGGAAAAAAGGATGGATAATGAATTAACCCTTCCTCATATGACTTCATAGTTGATAGGGTAAATTTTGAAAACCAACTCATTTTCAAACTTATTTATTAAAAATGACCTATTTAAAACTTATTTGTCAAAAACGATCTAGTTTTAGCCAATTGTCTGAAACTGAGTCATTTTTTGTGGAAAAAAATACCAAACTTCACGGGACTTTAAGTCCCGTGAAGTTTTTTACATAACAAAGCTTCACGGGACTTGAAGTCCCGTGAAGTTTGGTATTTTTTCACAAAAAACAATACAGTTTCAGCCAGTTGGCTGAAACTGAGTTGCTTTTGGCAAATTAGTTTCAAAAAGGTCATTTTTTACAAATATTTTTGGAAATGAATTGCTTTTCAAAATTTGTCCATAGTTGATATAGTTAAAGCCGGATCAGGGTAAACTCGACGAATATTCTCAAAAGCCAGGGAACAAAGAAACTGAAATAGAAAATAAAAATAAAATAATAACAGTAGTAAAGTTTAAAAAGCTAAAGTTAGGTATAATCAGGTTTTTTTAGCCCCTGAGGAGGAAGGTCTCAATAAATCAGGGTATTTTATTTAGACATCAGAATGTTTAACATTTGTTTTTGGATTTTTTGTTTTTAGGTCTAAAAATTTACCCTAGTTTATCTTTAAACTCAACTAATTTATTTTGTATCATTGAATCCACTTATCTTTATGTAGTTATCTCCAGACCCAGCTTCCAAAATATAATGCATACATATATGAGCCCACTTAAAAAAATTTAAAAATCTAATTATACCCTTCCCCAACCCCTTTCCTTTATTGATGTATTTTTTCATATGTGAGCCCCCTTAAAATTTAAAAATTCAATTATACCCTCCCCAACCCCCTTCTCTCTCTCTCTCTCTCTCTCTCTCTCTCTCTCATTCTATCTATTTCTTAATTAATTTTCCTCTCTCTACCATTATTCTCTTTTTTTCCTTCTTCCACTCTTATGAACCCATCAATTAATTCTCAACCCCTCTTATGAATCCATCAATTAATTCTCAACTTCATTAATGTGTAGGGGTTGTTGCTTGATTTTGGTGGAGATTCATCATTTTCTTAGTAATTTAAGGTATAATTTTATATTTTACTCAACTACGTAATTTATATATTATGAAAGTATAGCGGGTTATTATGAAAATATAGCGTGATATTATGAAAGTATAACTGGTTATTATAAAAGTATAGCGTGATATTATAAAAGTATAGCGGGCTATTATAAAAGTATAGCATGATAATATGAAAGTATAGCATGAAATTATGAAAGTATAACATGATAGTATGAAAGTATAACGGGTTATTCAAAAAGTATAGCGGTGTAATATGAAAGTATAGCGTAATATCCTGAAAGTATAGTGTGATATTATGAAAGTATGATGGGTTATTATGAAAGCATAGCAAGTTATCCTGAAAGTGCACAAGTATACCGGGTTATCCAGATAGTCCACAATCATATCAAAACATAACAAAACAATCACACCAAACACATAACGAACACAATCATATCTTATAAAATAAAGTGGATGGCACTTACAAGTGGAACACAAAAACTCATGTGTGATTGCAAATATTTTGCTTACATGTTCCAAAAGTTAGAATATAAAAGCCAATTTAGTCTGCAATAAGTTGTCCACATGTTCTATTGTTGTAACTGTACTGCTGACATCTACTACACTTTAACTCTTAATTGGGATTCAATCATGAATGAATGTGTTTTGTTCTTGATCTCTCACGTTGTAAAACCTTGAAAATTTGGAATATATTGTTATATGATGATAAACGAATTGTTTTACAGTTGTATGCTTATATATGTGAGCATATATATATATATATATATTATATATATAATATATATATATATTATATATAATATATATATATATATATAAATATATATATATATATATATATATATATATAGTATATATAGAAAAACTTATGTCAACTTAAGTGGACGTCCACTAAGTTTTTTAGTCATTGATGATCACTTGATTGAGCTACACTGTGGATGATCCGCTCCGTTAAACTGATCTACATATTCTAAACCCAACACAGCAAATTTAGGGTGAACCGCGTTGTGGTTTGACCCTCCGTCGAGGCATGTAAAAGTTCTATTCATTCAAACGGTTAAAATTGATAGCGAGTGGATGACATGGTCAAATCACGACGGTTTCACCCTAAATTTGGGTAGTATTGGGGTTTTGAGATTATGTAGATCAAGTTTAAGCGAAACGGATCATCACAATGTACTCAATCAAGTAATCATCAATGGATAAGAAACTTAGTGGACGTCCACTTAAGTTGAATAAGTTTCTCTCTCTCTTCTCTCTCTCTCTCTCTCTCTCTCTATATATTATATATATAAGTATATATATATATATATATATATATATATATATAATATAGAGAGAGAGAGAGAGAGAGAGAGAGAGATTAATGGGTATCCTTGTCATAGGAGGGGATTTCCTCCTTGCGGCCTCTAAAATCATATGATTGAGCGACATTATGGAATGATCGCTCCCGTTGAACTTGATCTACATATTCCTAAAAACCCCAACACACACAGTTTGGAGTAAATCCGTCGTCGTTTGACCCTTCACTGCGAGCCATGTGAAAAGTTCTATTCATTCAAAAGCGTTAAAATTGATACGAGTGGATGAAGGGTCAAACGACGAGCGGGTTCACCCAACTTGGTGTGTCAGGGTTTTAAAATATGTAGATCAAGTTCAACGGAGCGGATCATCCACAATGTCGCTCAATCATGTGATTTTAGAAGGCGTCAAGAGGAAATCCCTCCTATGACAAGGATACCCATTAATCTCATATATATATATATATATATATATATATATACCGATTTTATCTTCTTCATCTCTCACATTTCAGTAGTCACCCCTCCTCAAAACTCTAGCTATTCAACTTCATTTTCTAGAGAACTTTTGAAGGAGGATCGAGTTCCTCGCGCATTTGGTAGATCAAAACAATTTTGGAATGCAAGTTTATCTCTTCCCAAACTCATCTCCCTTTAGTTTTTCATGGTTTAAACCCTAATTTGATGAATAAGATCTGTAGTTTTGAACACTATATGAAGAAAATATATGTTTTGATGACTAAAACCCTAATGATCTATTAAAGAACGAATTAGTTAGGTTTGGTACCCTAATTATACAAAATAAAACCTGATTCGTTATGTTTAGGGAGTTTTTGACCCCAAAACCATGTTTTTGTTGATGTAAACTTGTTTGGACGAGATCTCTCTTAAGTTAATACAAGATCTTAGATGTAGTTCACACCCTATGTAAATAATTCACAAGTTTTTGAGAAAAATAATTAACTGTAGAAATCTAAAAAATTTGTGCTTCAGTGTTCGGGTCGGTCTACTAACCCATTGATCAGTCAACCGATCAGTTCTTCGGAACTTTGCGTTGCCTCTCTGATCGGTCGACTAATATAGGGTATTAGTCAACCGATCGAGGCTGCTGAGTTTGTGTACGTTGTGCACGTCGCCACCCAGTCGACTGATGGAATATCAGTCGACCGATTTTCAAAATCAGTCAACTGATCTGGTGCTATTCTGCTTTTGATGATATTCTACGCACGTTTGGTTATGAACACGAAGGACGAGACCGCATGTCGATGTACATGCATGGCCATAATAGTGTACACGTTTGGCTTAGGCACTCACGGATCCTCAGGAGTACGTGGCCATGTGTCGAGCTGTTACGAAGTAGGGACGACAATTTCGAGTTGCATAGTCAACATTAAATGTCTGCTGTAGGCTATCTAAAAATCACTACAGATAGCTGATTCCCATCAAGCACTAATAATTGAAGTTACATTTCAATGACTTCCAGAATGCTATAATTTGGAGACTTTCACGATAATCAACGAATGTTATAATTCAACAACCTTCACAACAACTGATGGAAGTTCTGATTCAACGACATTCACAATCATCAACAAGAGTTATAACTAATGACTCTCATATTCTAA